TGCTCACCCCTTTGTGGGTTCCCAGGATTAGGGCGCTCCCAAAAATAGGTGGTTTTCGGGTTTAGGGTTTAGGGTTTAGAGTTTAGGGTTTCGTTATACCTCCTGGACCTCACACCAGTTTATGCAGTGGAAAGCGGGGACCTCATCAGGATGGCCTGGAAACTTCAGAACGTGCAGGCCTTGTCTCCGCCCCGCTCATCAAAGGTTCAAGCAGAGATGGGAAGCATCCTCAAACCCGCTAAAACCCTAAACCCATCTGAACCCATCTGAACCCAGCTCAACCCATCTACATCTATCTAATCCCATCTAAACCCATCTACACCCCAAAAAACCCAACAAAAAAAACCCAAGAACCCCCAAAACCTCTAAAAACCCTGAAAACCCTAAAAACCCTGAAAACCCCTAAGAACCCTGAAAACCCTAAACACCCTGAAAACCCTAAGGCCCTAAACCAAAAAAAGGCGAGGTTCGAGCTTGGAGGTGTCCAACTGGCTCGCCGCGCAGAGGTACACCGCCTGGCTTTTTCAGCGTTTAGGGTTTAGGGTTTAGAGTTTAGGGTTTAGGGTTTAAATTTATTATAGGGTTAGGGGTGTGTTTAAGGCTTCTAGCCAAACCCATCCAAACCCTAAGCCACTTAAACCCGAAACCCGAACCCTAAACCCTAAACCCTAATTGCTGGAGGCTGCACTTTCAGTCACTTGCTGAAGGAGGTGACGGATTGCTTTTGCTGACATCGAGGCACTGGTGGTTAGAGCTTGACACACCTCAATGCAGACATGCCGATGAGTGTCCACTGTGTGTCCACATCAATGCTCCAACACCCCAGCGACTGGCTTGCATGCAGCCGCCAAGATGCCATCATAGGCACAAAAATGCGAAGAACGCTGCAGGTGGGCCAGCCTGCAGCTGCCCACAGCTCGCAGAAACAATGCGCAGTTTGCCCAAGAACTGCCGAGCGGAGCGCCCACCCTGAAAGGTGAGCACCCCTCGTACTGCATCCGGTGACCACGAGCAGGGCGTCAGCACCCCGAATGTCTCAAACTTGTACTTGCATCTTCAAATATCAGCGAACCAAAAATGCACGAGCGTGCGCAGCGGCACTACGCCTTGCGGACTGTCTTCTTTACTGGCACACGCTGGCCCCTCGACGGTGCATCTGCTGGATTGTCCTCTGAGGGTATGTATACCAGACGCACAAGAAAATCACAAGCGAGGCTGTGAGCAGAGATGGCTCGAATGACTCCTCGCAGGGCGGGCGCGGACGTGCGCCCTTTCGATGCTGCCCCTAAAACCACCTTTGCGTCAACGAGCACTACAAGCTTCTTATGGAAGCTTGCGCGACTCCTGGCGGCCCATTTCAGAGCCAACAGCAAACCGTGTGCCTCCAACACACCTGAATGTGCTTGCCACCGCGCCCGTGAAGAAATCACTTTCTTGAAAGCCTGTTTTGGCAGATGCAGTCGATGAGGCGTCCCAAGGCGGGGAATTTCATCTGCATCTCCGGGGCGCCGGTGGAGGCGCACGTAGTCGCCCCGCCTCTCTGCAAGTATGCCCAGTTGATGCATCGTCACAGGAGAAACTTTGGCTGCGCAGACCCCAAAACCAAACTCAGGAGCAGCGTCGCAAGCCAGCAACTTGTTCAAGTAGGGCCTGTCCAAACTGACGGTAAGCAGGGGGAGCAAACCCAGGGCCACAGCAAGCTCTTGTCGCACGTCGAGCGGCAAAGGTCTTGGCTTCAACGCAGGTTCCTTCCGGACAAAAGCGTATACCTTGTCGAAAACTGCGAAGACAGGGCGCTGCAGCAAACAGAACCATTGTACCAAGCCAAGAAGCCCGTTCAAGCCTTTAGGGGAGGCCCAGCCCTTGTCCAGGACATCCATGAGGCCAACGAAACAAGCCGATAACTTAGCAGTAGCTGGCTCCACCAAGTAAGGCTGGCTGGTAAAATCGCAACCAAGTGCTGTGATATGGCTAGCCAGCGAGACATCCTTGCCTGCATTCCGTGGAATGTGGGCAGAGTCCATTGCGGCATCGAAGCGTGCCAGGGTCTTGGCTCCATGCTGCCGGTTTCTGTGGGCGAAGACAGTGTCGTCGGTGGCAACCCAGCAAAGAACTGACTGGTCAAGCGGCGGGGGCTGTTCCATGCAAAGCACAGCATCTGGTTGCACCCCAGAGTTTGTAACGACACTCAGGGTGGTGCTTTGGGCGACAGCGGAAGACCAGCTAAATCCCATCGGCCACACAACGTTAACAGGATGAAGCAGACAGTCTTCGTCCAACTCTTCGCCATCCAAGTCATCCACCAAAATGCTGAGGTCTCGCAACGTTTGGCCACTCGCAGCTGCGAGCTCTGCTGCACTGACGGCTGGCTGTCCGAACCACGGCTGCAGAGAAGGAGGAACTTGAAGAGAGTCGAAGAAAGTTGCAGCATCTCGTTTTGAGTAGTAGACGGCCTCACCAGCTTCCACATGTATGTCGAGGAAGGACGCCGGGTTTGCGAGCCGCTCCGGTCTGGGAGGCTGCGACGCGAGCCGAGACAGCTCAGCCCCATTCCAGATTTTTCGTTGCCGCCCAACCGCTGCCTTCTTCACTGCGAACACAGAGGCCATCCCGCTCACGCGCCTTCGCAAACGCAGCTTGCCACACGCGAGCTCACGCGACACCAAAACCAGGTACTCAGACATGCTGACGCCAGCCCTACCATCCAGATCTGGAATGTGTGGTCCCGGGTCAGGAAAAATGACCGAAGGGTCAGCCACTGCGCGACGAAGCTCTTCATGTATATGGGCCAATGGATTGCAGGTTCCGGCTCTCTCTGGAAGGTCCACTGCTGTACCCCGCAAAGGCTCGCATTGCAAACTAGCTCCAGTCTCAAACCTGGCGAAGCCACCATCCCACGCGAAGTCCTGGGTGGACGTTGGCCTCATCCGTTGCAGCATGCGACGAACTCTGTGAGCTACACGTGTGTGGACCTCAAGCTGCCCCGTCGTTGCCTGAGCTGTCGGAGAAGCCTGCGACCGCGTCTCCTTGAAATCTGCCCACAACAAGTTTAAACTGGCCAGGCAAGCATTCGCGAGACACAATGCTGCAGGAACATCTTCAAGGGGCACCTCCGCGTCATCTGGCCAGCTCAACAGCATGGGCAATGGAAATATCCCGCGATGCCTGGAAGAAGGGGAAACTTCGCAATGACAGAAGGCAGTCTGAAAAACACCCCCACTGTCAAAAAGAAGCGCACGAAGATCTGAGTCCAACTTGCTCCACACAGCCAGCTGAGCAGGCACATCCTTGGCAACAGGCTTCTGGACCTGAGCCGCAACGCGTCGGTTCCATCTCTCCGCATCCCGCTTCAATTTCGCAGGAGAAGGTTTTCCACCTCGCCTTTTCAGAGGTCTACGCCAGAAACCTGCCTGGCTTGCAGGCTGCGAAGTCCGTGGAAACTGCAGCCCCAACCCTGGAGGGTAGAGCAAAAGGCCCGGAGCTGGCATGCAAGGCAGCATGGTTCGAAGTGGGCGCGGATGCCAATCGCCCATCCATGTAAATCCCCCCCAGCGCTGAGGAGGGCTCAAGAGCCCAAAAGGGGCTGACGTGATGCAGCTGCGCGCTCCTTCAGCCCAACTTCCCCTCTGCACAGGAACATCGTTTAGTTTGGCACGTTACCTCAGCAATAGCCCCTTCAACCCTAAACCCTAAACCCTAAACCCTAAACCCTAAACCCCCAAAACCTACACCCCAACCAACCCCAGACTTGCCTTTGAGAAGGTGCTCTTGGAGCCGAATCCGATCATGGAGGCCACGTCATTCTGCGCCAGGTCTGGCCAGCTCATGTCCCGGTGTGCCTGCAGTTTAGGGTTTAGGGTTTGGGGTTTGGGGTTTGGGGTTTGGGGTTTAGGGTCTGGGGTCTGGGGTGCAGGGTTTAGGGTTTAGGGTTTAGGGTTCAGGGTTTAGGGTTTAGGGTTTAGGGTTTAGCTGCAATGCTGCTAAACACCTCCTCCTAAACCCCTAGAAGCTGACACCCAAGATATCAACTTCTCAGAGCCTCCTCAGCGCTCGGCCGCAGCGTCTCCTGCTTGGTAAGCAGCCACGAGACGAAGGTGCAGGCAGCCTTTCAGGGTTTAGGGTTTCGGGTTTCGGGTTAAGGTTTGGAGCTTAGGGCTTGGGGTTTAGGGTTTGGGGCTTTAGGGGGGGGCTTAGGGAGTTTGGAGGGTTTAGAGGTTTGGAGGGCTTAGAGGGTTTAGAAGTTTAGAAGTTTAGAGGTTTAGAGGTTTAGAGGTTTAGAGGGCGTTCGGGTTCAGGGCTCTGCGAGTCTGGAATCTAGCAACCTGAAACATCCAACAGACCAAAGCTGCCTGGCTGGCGCCAGCCGCGCGGACTGCCGAAACGTCCACGGGATCGGGGTCGTAGCAGGTGGAGACCTACGAACAGGCGAACACGGCTTCAGGGCCAAAACTTTTCAGCGAGCGGGCTCCAGAGGGGGCAAGGGCGAGAGCTACCCCGGCTTGAGCTATGATGTTCGGGGACATCTCAGCATCCCCCGAAGTCGGAGTCGCACCAAGAAAAGAACTTCGGCACTTCGGCACATAAAATACCCGGAGCCTAAACCCCAACCGCCTGCACTTCAAAGGGCGTCTGGCCAAAGGGCCGACTGCCCGAGAGCAGCTCGAAGCCGACCTCGGACCGAACATGTCTAGGGGTTTTAGGGTTTAGGGTTTGGGGTTTGGGGTTTAGGGTTTAGGGTTTGGGGTTTAGGGTTTAGGGTTTAGGGTTTGGGGTTGGGGGTTTCGGGTTTAGTGTTTAGGGTTTAGGGTTTATACAAGTAGGGTTAGAAGTAATGTAAGCTACACTATAACCTTACTCAAGGTACTTGGAACCCCACTTATCACTACCCATGAACCTTCAAGTAAGGGTTTAGGGTGTAGGGCTTTGGGTGTTTTAGGATAAGGTCAGGGGTTTTGGGGGTTCTTAGGGCTTGGGGTAGGAAGTTTCCCTAAGTTAGATCAAGGGACTAGACACATAATTCAATTCAGAAGATTCGGCAAGAAGTACCTCCTTTTCTTCTGGAGAAGGGGTGGTCCGTAAATTTGGAACAAACCTCCAAGTGAAGGTGTCGATTTGTTGCGGTCAAACCCCAAACCCTAAACCCTAACTCTAAAAACTTAAGCCCCCTAAACCCTAAACCCTAAACCCTCAGCCCTCACCAAGGAGGGCCCAACCAGGACAGGCTGCCACGCCCAGCGACCAGATGTCGACCTTGGGCGTGATGATGTCCTCGAAGATCTCTGGGGCCATGTAGGCCCAAGTCCCCTTCTTCCTTGAAGGATGTGATAGGGTTCAGGTTTAGGTTTGGGTGTAGGGTGCTTTCGGGTTTAGGGTTGTTGGTTTGGGTTTTTGGGCTTCTACTTCATATGCGGCTTGCTTGGGACGTACGACGCACCTTGGACATAGTCCAGCAGTAAATCTATAGCCAACCCAGAAACGGAACCAACGCTTTCGAGCTTGGGGGTTTAGGGTTTAGGGTTGAGGCGGTGTAGGGCTTGGGGTTTAGGGTTGGGGTTTAGGGTTTAGGGTTTAGGGTTTAGGGTTTAGGGGTACACTGGCAGCAATGCGGCTGCAAGCTGGTCGCGCTGTCCGGCTTGAACACCTTCAGCTGGGGCAGCAACACGTGGCGGAGCATCCTAACCCTAGACCCCAAAAAACTGAAGCCCAAAACCTCCGAAGATCCGATGCTCGAAGGCCCTAAACCCCAAAACCCCAAGACTCCCAAAAAAACAAAACCCCAAAAACCCAAATCCCCAAAACCCTAAACCCCAAACCCTAGACCCCGAAACCCCAAACCCCAAAACCCCAAAACCCCAAAACCCGAAAACCCGAAAACCCAAAACCCCAAAACCCCAAAGGAGAACCATCCGCGCCTGGAGCCCTCAACCTTGAGATGTTCCCCCTTATGCTAGCAGCCCTTAATCGTAAAATTGGAGTGGCCCCTGGATCTAATCCCTATTTTGGACTGTTCGTATATGATATGGGTTTAGGGTTTAGGGTTTAGGGTTTAGGGTTTAGGGTTTAGGGTTTAGGGTTTAGGGTTTAGGGCAGCATCCCAACCTCAAGCCCTCAAGCGGTCGAACGTGTTGCTTCGCCCCAAGGAGGCGACAGTGCAAACAACCATATTGGGTTTAGGGGTTTCAGCTCAGGAAGCCCAAGTCCCCTAAACAAAAACAAAGCAAGAACACACCCAACAAACAACAAACAACAACAAAACCCTAAACCCTAAACCCTAAACCCTAAACCCTAAACCCTAAACCCTAAACCCTAAACCCTAAACCCTAAACCCTAAACCCTAAACCCTAAACCCTAAACCAAACAAAAACAGCGCAACCCTCTGCAAACCCTTGGTGCCAAGACACGTCGGCGATGCCGAAGTCTGCGAGCAAGAGGTGGGGAGGATGCTGGTCCTCTGAAGCGCGGAGACTTCGGGGTGTTTTGTTTTTTGTTTTGTTTTGTTTTTTTTTTTTTTTTGGGGGGGGGGGGGGGGTTTTTGGGGTTTGGTTTTTGAGTTTTGTGGTTCTGGGGTTTTGGGCGTTTTTTTGGGGGGTTTACGGTTTAGGGGGTTTTATGGTTTTGGGGATTTGGGGGTCTTGGGGTTTTTGCGGGGGGTTTGGGGGGTTTTGGCGGTCTTCGGTGGCTTTGGGGTCTTGCGGGGGTTTGGGGGGTTTTGGGGGGTTTGGGGGGTTGGGGGGTTTTGGGGAGTTTGGGGGTTTGGGCCTTTTGGGTTTTGGGGTTTTGGGTTTCGGGGAGGCAGGTCCTCTCTGGAGTGGACTTAGGGGTTTTGATGGAGGTCTTTTAGGGGTTTTTTGGGGGGGTTAGGGGTTCAGTGTTTTTGTTGGTGGGTTTTGGGGGTGGAGGGCTGGGTTTTGGGGTTGTGGGTTTTTGGAAATTGGGGTTGTTTGGGGTTTTTTGGGGCTTGGGGGTTGTTTGGAGTTTTAGGGGCTTTGGGGTCTTGGAGTTTTGTGGTTTCTTGAGGCTTTGGGGTTCCGCCGTTTTGGGGTTTTGGGGTTCCAGGTTTCCGGTGCTCAGGATGTCGGCATCTTCTGGAACCCCTAAACCCCCAAAACCCTGAAAATTCTGAACCTTGGGATGGTTCCCCCCTTCCGCTAACAGTCCTTAATTGGGATTACATAACCCCCCCCCTATTATAATCCCGTATAAGGGGGAACACCCCAAGCTAAACCCCTGCAAGCTCCCACAACCCTAAACCCTAAACCCTAAACCCTAAACCCTAAACCCTAAACCCTAAACCCTAAACCCTAAACCAAAAAAAAAAAGCACGCGCGAAGCCCTAGGAGTCTGCGACTTGCCGCCGCGCCACGAGGCGCGTCAGGATCATGTTTGAGGGCTTGATGTCCCGATGGATAACACACTCCGAGTGGATGTAAACCTCAGAAAAGGGTTTAGGGTTTAGGGTTTAGGGTTTAGGGTTTAGGGTTTGGGGTTTGGGGTTTGGGGTTTAGGGTTTAGGCTTGAGACTTTCGGCTTTTCAGGGAGCTTTTTGGGGGGCTCTGAGGGCTGCAGGGATTTCGGAGAACCTCAAGAAGGGTTTTTGGGTGGGGGCAGCATGTGCAAGTCCTTAAGCAAGTGAACTGCTTGGATTTCAAGTCTCAGAAGGGGGTTCTGAGTTTTTTCAACTCCTTGGACTAAGCTGCTAGCCACTTTGGCCCTCTCTGAACCGAAACCCAAAATCTGCAACCATAAGCCGACGCGCAAGGGAGCCGACTGGCGACCCCTGCGACCCTGAATTGAGTTGCTGCTGGGGAACACAAACTACCTGCCGCATGGTATTCCGTCGTAGAATTACACCTTTTTTTAGCAAGGCCTGTGAACCTTAAAAAAGCTCCGTTTGTACGGAATTGTTAAAAACCTCGGGCTCTTGCACGCTCACGGGTGTCACATTCCGAGTTGGGCGAAATCAGGTTGTAAGGAGCGAAAACACTGGTATTTACAGTGTTTCCGTGTTTTTGTGGCGAAAAGTAGGCGTTTTCAAAAAACCCTGAGTTTTTTATCTGAGTTTTTGGCATTCTTAGGATTGTTGGATGTCTCGGTGGGATGATTGGTAATATTTATATCCGAAGCTATAAGCCCCAAAGCTAAAGTCTTAAAGGCTAATGTTGACTTCACATTAGTGATTCCCGCCGCAATTGTAAAATCCCGCTGCCGGAACACAATATTGTAACCCGCCACAAATGTAAAATCCGACCCGGGAAATCCGGTTTTTACGGGCGTGGTGCTACTACCTAATACTAAAGCTAATACTAGGTCCTACCAGGATTTAGGCGAACAGTATTGAGGAGGCCCTGGCCGGAGAGATTGATCAATGAAGGGGGGGGGGGGTTTATTAATGCGAAGTCAACATTAAACCCCAAAGGTAAAGTCCTAACCTAAACCCTAAACCCTAAACCCTAAACCCTAAACCCTAAACCCTAAACCCTAAACCCAAACCTATAAGCCGTGTAAGCCGCGAAGCCAACGCTCGGAGTGCTTGCTCCATGAGCAGGCGCACCGTCTTCTCCGCCAGACCGCTTTGCCCCTCCTTTAGCGTTTTTAGGGTTTAGGGTTTAGGGTTGAAGGTTTAGGGTTTAGGGCTTAGGGTTTAGGGTTTAGGGTTTAGGGTTTAGGGTTTAGGGTTTAGGGTTTAGGGTTGAAGGTTTAGGGTTTTAGGGGTACTTCGGGGGCTTAGGGAAACCCTGAAGTGCTGAGGGTTAAGGTTTAAGGTTTAGGGTTTAGGGTTTAGGGTTTAGGGTCTAGGGTCTAGGGTTTAGGGTTTAGGGTTTAGGGTTTAGGGTTTAGGGTTTAGGGTTTAGGGTTTAGGGTTAGGGTTTTGGATTAGGTGTTTCCTGGGCTCAGAGGCCTAGAGTTGGTCCCCTCGCGGGGGTGCAGAAACCCCCTGCCTCGTCCTCTGATGTGGGTACCCTAAACCCTAAACCCTAAACCCTAAACCCTAAACCCTAAACCCTGTTTCCTAAGTTAGGGGGCCCCTTCTTGGGAACCCAGTATAAGGCAGCACCCTGTAGAAGGGATCCCAAAAAAAGGGACCCGAAATTGGGAAACTACCCATGTATTTCTTGCCCACCCCAAGCACCTTGGGGATGTAGCGATGACCCTAAACCCTAACACTTCAGTTGAGGGGTTCCCCCAAACTACGGGCGAGTACCCTGAATTTCAACCGAAACCCCTGAACCCTAAACCCTGAACCCTAAACCCTTGCACCCATTGTCAGAATCCACAATTGCAAAGCCACTGGCGCCTTCTTGGCACGGCGGAGGGCACGATCCAAGTCGCCCCCTCGGGCGCCTTCCATGACCTTACGGTCTTTGAGGGTTTCGAATTAAAGGTTTGGGGCTTCGGGTGTAAAGTTTAGGATGGAAGGTGTCGTAAAGAGGAGGAACAACCAAAACGTTTACTCCCTCCACCCTAAACCCTAAACCCTAAACCCTCCCTAAACCCTAAACCCCAAACTCTAAACCCTAAACCCTGCACCTACAACAAGTAGTTCCTGCCCACGGCCCAAACCTCAACCCCCACTTGTGAAGGATTAGGATTTAGGTCTTAGGTCTTAGGTCTTAGGTCTTAGATCTTAGGTCTTAGGTCTTAGGTCTTAGGCCTTGGGTCTTAGGCCTTAGGGTTTAGGGTTGTCTATAGTACTTCTACATGGGGATAAAAAAACACCCTGGTTCTTTTTGATTAAGGTGACCAGGCAGTGCTTTCCTGGAGAACTGCAGCTGCAGAACTACCCGCGAAACGTGTAAATTGAAGGCAGGGGTCTACTGGGCAAGCTCCCGCATCAACAAGGTTTTGGGATTTTGGGGTGTCAGGACTGACCCTAAACCTTCAACCTGCAACCCTAAACCCTAAACCCTAAACCCTAAACCCTAAACCCTAAACCCTAAACCCTAAACCCTAAACCCTAAACCCTAAACCCTTTTGGCGCAAGCTCTCTTAGGCCGCCACCAGGTAGAAGAAGCGATCGGACCTGCAGCAGATTTCTCCTTGTAAGACCTCTTGCTAACTGTTCAGGGAGAACCCTTGTAGATGTCTTCATATTACCTTATGTTCCTAACAAGTCTCAGAACAGGTCCTTATTGTTATACTCCCTGCAGTCCCTGTAAGGGTTCCTCCAGGGTTTAGGGTTTAGGGTTTAGGGTTTAGGGTTTAGGGTTTAGGGTTTAGGGTTTAGGGTTTAGGGTTTAGGGTTTAGGGTTTAGGGTTTAGGGTTGGGGGCTTAAGGTTTCATCTGATGAGCGGCTCGAACCACTCGAAGAGGCGCACGATGTGGGGATGGTCCAACTTCCGCAGCACCTCTTCGCTTCGTTGTGTCGAGGATTGCTCTTCTCTCGTGGCATGAATTAAGGTTTAGGGTTTAGGGTTTAGGGTTTAGGGTTTAGGGTTTAGGGTTTAGGGTTTAGGGTTTCGGGTTTAGGGATTGGCTTTTGGGATTTAGGGTTTACAGTTGCACTTAGAACCATGCTCCACCTCAAGACCCTCTTGGTGGCACACATCCCTTCGACCAGCAGACGAAAGCATCAGCCAGCAAGCCCACATTAAAACCCACCTCCATCTCGCGTTCGATCTCCTCCCTCGGCACCTTCATTGTACACCCCGGCGCTCTGGAAACCCTACACCCTGAGCCCGCAATATACCACTGGTGTAGTGACTCTTGCTATCAACACGGGGGGCTGCAAGAGGCTTCAAAGCGTGTCCGCAGAACTTAAGCCCTAACCCCTAAACCTTCCGACCTGAAGCCGACGCCAAAGCCCAAAACTATTGCAAAAAAGCTGCCTTGAGAACCCTAAAGGAGCCCCCTTTTTGCGCGCTAAATCGACTTGAAAGATGCTGAGAAGAAAAACCTATCCGGGGTCTGGACTCTTTGAGGTAGGACTTGTGGGGGACGGGCAGGGAAGGAAAGCTTTCAGGGGCGGCAGACCGGGGTGAGAAGACAACCCGCAAGTAGACTTTTTCGCGAGCCGCGGCCGTGCTCCGAGCTAGGCGCAAAGAAACATGTACATGCAGGTGTGAAGCGGAAATCATGATTTCACCCGGGAGCCTTATATTGTTTGTAAAAGAACACCAGGGCGCGACCGAAGTCCCCTAGGCGCTCCACAGTGCCACAATGAATCTAGTTCACCCACACATGATACTGCTCCGCCACAGCGATAGCAGTTTTCAAGAGTTTGGTTTCAAGAGCTTTTGCAGCGCGAGCATCACAATGCCACATGGCTCGGTGAGAGCCCTGCCATCGTCGAAGCGCCATGTCTCGAGCAGCCACATCGACAGCATCATTCAAGGCACGAGCCCTTGCCTCAGTGATGTTTTCAGGGGGCCTCCACCCTGGCACTATGCGATCATGAGCGGGAACCCAGTGGAGGATGACATCAATTTCACGATGTGACAGAGCATCCAACGCCGCCCAAATTCGTCGGGCCAGTGTCTGGTAACAACCCGAATAACTGCGCTTGCACACACGAATCGCAGCTTGGCAATCACACAGCAGCAGCACTCTAGTCCTGCGGGTACTCCTCATCGAAATGGCTGCGGCCTCCAAGAGATGCAAGATGCCGAAGACCTCAGCGACAAAGGGACTTTGATCCTCATACTCGAAACCAGCTGCTATTGGCTGCGACCCCTCAACGACAGCAGCCCATGCAGCGACATCCTCCTTCGAAGATCCATCTGTTGCGCAGCATACGCAACTCGCATCCTGGCTCATGGCACTGGCAAACGCACGGACAAGGACCTGCGTACTATCGTCATCTGCATTTGCTCGCGGGGGCAAGGGCAGGAACTCAACGGTGGCGGCCAGGAGCCGCTCCTGCGCACGATTCGTTGGCGCACGAACGCCAGCATCGGTTCTTATCCCAGCCGTAGCTTCACACTGGAAAATCAGGTGAGGGCGGCTGGGCCACTCCTTGCCGCACATGCACGTAGTGTGCCACTGGTGTCGCGGCAATCCAGTCATCTGATTCTCATGCCAAACACTACAGCCAGATGCAAGTGCTACAAGTCTTTGTGCACGGGATGCCCCAGCTTCGAAGTAAACCTGCTTGTGGACAGCACCGTGTAACATGCGATGACCATCAGGCGGAGGCAGTAGGACACCCTGGGCCAAGTCCAAAGCCTCGCTTCTGTGAAGTGAACGACTAATGCGACATGTAGCGAAGAGGGCTTGTCGCTTGTGCTCATACTCCAGCCATGCTTTCAGGACATCTAAGCCATCCACACCTATGACAAAGCGCCGCTCCTGACCAAGGTGGTCTTGCTTGGTGATGTTTGCGCCATCGTGCGAGACACTCCACCCCCATCTGTCTAAAGCTGCTTTCGCAGCAGGTATCAGAACCTGCCATGGCTTGGCAGCAAAGCGAAGACAAACATTGTCAGTCCATAGTGGACAGCGAAGATGCCACTGAACAGCCGCTGTGAGTGCAGCCCACTCCATTGCGAACTCAGGATCGCACTGCCATCCAAAGATCTCGAAGACCAAGCACTTGGGTGCGTCTCTTAGCGCAACGTGTCCTACCAAAGCCCAAGCAATGTCTGTGCGGAGGCTCTGCATGTCCACGTCAAAGTCGGTAGCAACACACGCTATCCACGCCATTTTTGCCAAGATGAGCATTCCGACAAGGTAGGCTCGCATGGTAGCAGGCACACGTAGGGCTCGGAGGAAACGAAGCCGAAGGTGGAGTTCTTCACTGGACACGCGTGCTGGTGAGCATGTGCCGTCCAAGCGATGACACGCTCCCAGTACTTTCAGCTTTTCATCATGTACGTAGCCAGTCTCCCGGATGATGTCAGCATGCGTTTCTGGATTTCTGCAAACAAATTGACATTTGGTGGGCCTGCATGTCCAGCCACGTGTCTCATCAAACTGCTTGCTTCTGGTCAAGGCTCCTCGAATGGCATCGTCCCGCTGATTTTCGCTGCCTTCTGTCCACATGGTCCTGTCGTCAACAAAGACCACCGCATCGATCAAGCTGTCTGGGGACTCAACCACTTTCCAAGTCCACAGCTGAAGCAGTGAGGCTGCTATCATCGGTGAGACTGGACATCCCTGTAAGATGCCACGGCTGACTGAATGCCAGCGCGTGCCCAGGTGTCCAGCAACGCTGAAGATGCGCTGTTGGGAGCTGTAGAACCCCTTCAGGAGACGAACAAGTCGAACAGGAGCCCCATGATGAACAAGTGCTCTGCAAGCAAGGCCAATGTCGATGGTATCAAAGCATTTTGAAAGGTCTTCGGCTACAATCAAACGGTCAGGGTCAGCAACTAATGCTTCGTGAAGACGCATGTGAGCATGTTGTACAGATCTTCCTGGCAAACCTCCCAGAAGATGAGGGCTGGCCCAAGAATCAACCCATGAACGCAGTTGTTGCACAATCTCCGCCGCACCCAACCTCCATGCCGCTGTCGCCATACATAGGGGTCTCCAGGTGCCATCCTGCTTGGGGATCAGGGCAACTCGTGCCCTCTGCCATAACCTGGGTACAGCGCCACGCTCCCAGACCTTGGCCCATAGTAGCGCAAAACTCTCAAACCAACGCAAAGGAAGTCGAGCCAGCATGGCAGGCTCCCAGTCATCAGGACCTGGGGCCTTGTGGCCCATTGCTTTTGCTCGTCGCTTCAAGTTACGACCGTGCCACTCTATGGTAACATCAGCCTCACGTTTCTCATGACCGATGTCTGCCAGGATGCGTTCGAAGGGTTCCATCGGCTGGGGGCCGATATTCCATAGCTCGGTCCAAGTCGCTTCCTCCTCAGAGATGATGTTGGAAGGGTGCACAGCACGCAGCGGGACTCTCGGGTCTTGGACAGGTGGGGAAACACCAGCGGCCATTTCACTCGCAGCACGAGCCTTTACCCATGCCAGTGCTTTTGTAGGGCTCGCGTCAATCTGCTCTTTCCATCTGTCTATCCTCTCCTTGCGCAAGCTGGTCTCGCAGTCACGTATGGTTTGATGAACCACGTTGCAAAGGCCGTCAAGCGTGCGTTCAGGCCAATCGGAGAGCACGTCAAATGAAGTGACCAAACCATCCAGAGCACTAAATGCAGTGCGTTGAAGCTGTTCGTCGTTGGGTCTCAGCATAAGCTGGCGCAACCTTCTCCCCAATCGGCGCAGGCGCCGAAGTCTCACAGGTTCATCTGAGAGAGCTGCCTTAGACGTGGCCGGAGCGATCCTAGGCACCCATGTATTAGCACGGGGCAGCTTTGCACCACACTTTTCAGCCTCATTTTCTTGCTGACCACATAGCACATGTTCAGCAGCGTTGCTGAGTGCCTCCCAAGCTGCATCAACATCATCACGGTTTAATGCTTGCAGAAAGGGTTCGCTGCACCAGCTCTGCTCAAACTTCTCAGCGATGGACTTATCATCCAAGTTGTTAGGTTGCAGTCGAGCCGGACTTTTATATTGTGGGATGCCCGCCAAATTTTCAAACTCGTAGCACACCGCATAGTGATCAGCAACTGAAATATAATGTTTCAAAGTTGTTGGAATCACGTTCGGATGGGCCAAGCCGTAGTCAATGCGCCTCTGTCCATTCAACCTCGTAGGTGGCAAAGTGCGAAGCGGACCAAAATAAGAATCCAAATTCATTGCCCCACCTTGGCAAAAGGCAGCTTGAAAACATGCACAATCTTGTTCAAGATTGAAGTCACCCATGATGATCCACGGGAGGCCAAAACTTTGGACGAAAGTCAACGATTGAAGTACCAAGGCCGCAGCGAGGTCCTCATCGCTGGCATCTCCGTAAACCGAGCCGATGACATATTTCTGCACAAGGCCATCGGCTAGGAACTCGCAGCAGGCAAAAACCGCGCGGTCTGAGTCCAGAAGCTCAGGAGCTGTCACCTTTCGAATCGGCTCCTGCGCAACAATGGCGACACGCGGCACCGGGCCGCTTCCCAAAACACACTGAAAACCTCGTCGTTTCCAATCCTGTACATATCTATGTGTAGAAGACGGGTTGATGTCAATTTCCTGAAGGAAAAGTACATGCGGTACACAATGTCCAAAAGAACTCAGGAGTGCAGGTGTTTTCGCCACACCCTGTCGCCCAAGGTTCACTGTTGCAAAGGTCTTCATGCTTTCTTTGGACGGCTCTCAAGGGCTGCGATTGCAGCCCGGCAAAGACCTTGCAAAACTTCATCTTCCATTCCATGTCGAGCAGGGGGCTTTTTCATGAGCTTTTGTAGCTTGCTGACGCGGTGCTTGACGAACTTCGGGTCGACCTTCTCATCACACCTGTGTGTCTCAGCTTTGCTGGTATTCCAAAAACACCGGCAGCATGTTGGGCACTGTCCTGCGCTCTGCAAACAAAGTCGCTCTCGCTTCTGTCTCAGCACTACCCGCGGCCAAGAAAACAAGACAAAGCCATCCGGAAAACGAGGATTGATAACCCGTTGAGCCGCAGACTTGTTCAAGTGGTGGGCTCGCACCTTGCGAGTGAAACTGATGTCAACGCGCCTGTGTGCAAAGGCCAACCACTTGGAGATGGACAACTCAGAGTGCTTCGCCTTTCTGTGCTCATTTTTGAGCATTGCAAAACCGCCCTCGGTGAGCTTGGTACGCGTCAAGCAGGAAATGCCAACACGACAGCCAGGAACTGGGCAGCGCCAAGCAGCAACGTCCTTCCCCGAAAGTCGCTGAAGTCCTTTGGGATGTTTCCTGCGGCCAGGGCATCCAACACCACCATGCGCACTAGTCAGATGGTAGTTGGCCCCCGTGGAGGCGGAGCCTGCGCTCTCATAGGTGCCAACATACGGACATTGCTCACAACGAAATTGGTAGACGCCTGGTTTCACCAAATACTTAGACGGTCTCACCTTTACCGTCTGCTGGTCAGCCTTACCCTCATTGGCGACGTCCTCTTCGTCCTCACTAACGTGTTGCGAAGCTGTTGCCTGGTTCGAGCGCGCCGACGGTCCTGCCACAAGCCTTGCCCTCTTAGAACTTTCAGCAGAAGTCATGGGTCGCGTTGAGGAGCGCCGTCGCTTGGAACAAGTCTTAGCCGAAGACGTAGAACCCTTGTAGGCCGAGAAGCGTAGGCGCGAAGCTGGTGCAGTTCTCCAAGGGGCCGAAGAGACACAGTCAGCGTAGTCAGAAAAAGCCAGGCCACCACCTCCTCGATTCCCTGAAAACTTGGGGACTGAAGCGCCAAGCCATAGCTGTGCAATCTCCTTTCCAAGGAGCCTCACAAACTCGTAATGCGCCGCCTCATACTTCAGGCACAAGAAGTGGCCCATCTCTGTGGAATCAGCCTTAGCCGGGAACTTGTGGATGCAGTCCTGGTGAACAACAATGATGTTGAGCGCGTGGGCCACACTGACAGCATATAGTTCGAGGTATCCTCCATAGGCCCCTTGCTGTCGGATTCGATCCGTGTACTCCATGAAACCACCGTTGAGCTTGGTGCCGTCCGGCGCAAGTCCATCCCAATGTGGTTCAACAGCATCACTGTGACTAGCCAGCCAGTCAGCAAGGGCTGCCCTCACCTGACGATGTCCAATGCGCTTGGATTCAATCTCACTAACTCCTTGAGCAACTGCTTCGAACAAGCAGTTTCCTTTGCCGCGGTTCTCGACGATCTGGGCCGTGTCTGGAAGCTTGAAAATCTTAGGCTGCTTGGGCGCAGCTATTGAAGCCTGAGCTTCATCACCTGGCAAACTTCGCTTGGCACCAGCAGGTTCAAGGACGGTAGCTTCGTCACCATCAACGACCATGTCCTCAAGGGGTGAGGCCGACGCAGCCCCTTCAGTATTTGCAGTGGTCAAAGTCACCTTGCGCGTTCCTGCATTTGCTTTGCCTTTGGGCTTTGCAGTTTTGATGAAGTCCTCCAAAGGTGCAGGTTTGAAGCTGTGAGTTCGCTCCGTTGGAATGGCACTTGTCATTCCCTTGGAACGTTTGCGGCTAATCTTTGTGGCCTCAGCCACGTGTTCATTGCCATCCTCGTCAGTGAGCTGAAGTGGTACGAAGTCACGAAAATCAGCGCGGGAGGCTAGGAAAGTCCATAGAACGCCTCCACGACGTGAGGTGCTGGATTGGATTTCTATCTCACCGAAGCCACCTTCAATCAAGACTTGCTCCACATCCTCAAGGAGCCATCCAGGACCAGCTCCACGAAAGTGCCAAAGAGAACGTCGAGGAACAATGCGAGGATCAAGGGCATCAAGACGCAGTCCTAGGCGGTTGCCATTGGCTACTAGTCCATGTTCATTGGCATCTTTGCGAACACGCCCCAAGTACTGTGACCAGTCCTCAGAGGCCTCTTTGTTGACCCACAACAAAGAAGGCTGGCAAACACCAATATCATTCCAGTTGACAGGCGTCAAGAAAAGGGCAACCCCCGAATGAGCCCTTCCGGATGAAGCCAAAAGCTGGTTTCCAGCCTCCATGGTCGCTCGGACAAGTCCTGTGACCTCTGTTCCATCCTTGGCAACCCAGCCCCAGCTGTCAATGATCGCCCCCAGGTTGCTAGGTAGGACTCGGCTCGCCCATTGTCGTAGCGCGCGTGCAGGCTTGCTTCTTATCGATTCAAAGCTCTCAGCGTAGTGCTCGTGAAACGAAGCTCGGAAGACTATGGACTCAGACTTGTCACGAGCCTTGGGCGCCTTGACCTTGACAAACTCAACCGCCGGCGCGAGCACTGCCTCATGTCCAGCAAAGGAAATAACAAAGCAACGCCGCAATCTGTGATGCCCGCTTAAGATGCCAGGTACATGTCGCTCCTCAACTTTGCTCTCTTTGGCCACGCTGTCCAAGTCCTCGGATTGAGGCCCCGTGTAGATCATCACCGTTCCGTCCGGGCACCCACCCTTGAGCATGCCGTAGGCATCCTTGAGGAGCTCAGCCCCAACTTGTGCCACAAAGGGCTCATCTGCGTCCAACGCGTTCTCAATGTCCTCGAGGGTGGTCGCATAGCCCCCGGGAGCCCGCAGAGATACATCAGAAGCATGAATTGGCACGGCCCTTGGAGATGCATCAGCGGTGGCGGTCAGAGCCCACGCCATGGCCTGGATGCAGCCCTTCGAGATGTATCACCCGTGCATGGGGCGGGGCGCTTCACCTAAGCGCCCCGAAGAGCGCCTTGGAGCGGGTTGGGGGGGGGGGGGGGCCACAAAGACGATGCTCGAATAATGGGCTTCAAAAAGAGTGATATGCCTTGGAGCAAGCCTGCGCGGCTTAAAAACCGGGGGGGGCGGGGGGATTGAAAATTAACACCATGCTAGGATGATGGGTTTCGGAAGACTCATATGCTCTGAAGAGAGAGTGCACGCTTCAAAAATGCAGGGAGGTTTGGGCGGGGGGGGGGGGGCCCATTTGCAAACACAATGCTCGCATAACAGGCCTCAAAAAAAGTTCATCTGCCTTGAAGCAAGCTTGCACGGCCAAAAAACGCGGGACCTCTAAAAGCCTAGGCTTGGACACCGAAGCCATCGGCCGGCCCCAAGTTGCACCACCCCCAGCTGCGTCCCCCGTCCCCTCGCCCTTGTTGTTCAACCTTGCAGGTGGTAAGAGACCCGGCTAGCTCCCAAAAGCTAGCTTTCGTGATGAGCGGACACCCGCCCCGCCTCCATTCGCTCCTTGGATATGCGCTTCGCAACCTGGGTTTGGGGTTTCGGGTTTAGGGGTTAGTTCTCGGGACAGGCGCTGGGCATTTTGGCAGCAGAAGGGAAGCCCAGGGTGTGGGGCTGGGAGGCACGTGGCCCTTGGGAGGTACATTCACAACAAAGAACAGAATTTCTGAGGGGGGGCTTGGAGCTTTAGGATTCTTATCTATACCAGGATTGGGGGCTTCGGGTTTAGGGGGCCTTAGGGCTTGCAGTCTGGAGCTCAGCGCCCACTCAGTGCCGTCCGCGAAGCCCGCTGAGTGCCAGCGCGCTTGCTTTTCACCTCATCTCGCAGGGTTTGGGGCTTCGGGTTCAGGGCTCCGGGCTTGGAGAACAGGGCTGAGGTTCACAGTCGACCCCGTGTTGCTCCATGATGCTTGATTGCGAGGACACACGCCGCTGCTGTTGCACGGTGGGGGTGAAGGCCAGATGACGGGTAAGCCACCCTAAAGGCCTGCTCACCGGAGCCCAAAACCATTCATGAGCCCCCAAAACGTCGAAACAGCGGAAGTCTGCTGGAGACATGTCAGGTTTTGGGTTGAAGGTTCAGTGTGGAGCCCAAAAAACTTAAACCCTGGATAACAAGCTAGCAAGCAGTGCCGAGGCCCACACCCAGAAGCACTGGCCGAAGAAGCCGCTCCCCACATCCTCCAAAAAATAAGACCAGGACTTCGACTGTTTTGTTGGTTGAGGGTTCGGGGTTTATGGTTTCGGGTTGTGCAACTACGTGAGTCCTCCAAGGACTCGTACTCCTCCTCAAGCTGCCTGGGCGGCGAGCGCGTCGGGAAGTTTTAGCTGCTTGCGCCCTAAAGTCCAATCCCGTTAAGCCCCAAAAACCGCAAACCCTTTGTAAGTTCGAGGCCCTACCAGCCCAAAACCCGAATTCCGTCAAAAACCCCAAAAAACGCAAACGCTTTTTAAGTTCGAAGCCCTACCACCCCAAAAGCCGAAACCCAGGCATGAGAGATGCAAAATGCGATCCTGAACAAGCTAACCCTTGATTCCGGCCTATTGCTCGCGGTAAACTGCGAACGACGTCCCACCAGAACCCGCTCTGAACTGCTGCTCTAAGTTTGTGGCTTAAGGTCATCAGGTAGAGCCTCCACCCCAAATGCTGCCAAAGCCTCTTCCGATTCTGCGTCACCATCTGGCCTAGAAGGGGCGAAGTGGGTCACTTGCGGAGGTGCAAGTATTGGGTCTCAGGGGCATTTTGGGTGCTCGGGCACGCTTTTTCATTTGACCTAAGCCGGGTTTTGGGTATATAGGGGGAGCAACGCCAAACCCTCGCCAACATCCTGCACACTTTCATCCGGAGCGACATGCAGTATCAGCCGGCCTCTCCCCACGCGCACGCAGTAGGAGTCGCGGATCCGGCGCAAGACCTTCACCAGGACTGCCTGGAAGATCTCCAAAGAGATCCTGCATGGAACGACTCCCCCGTCGACTCCCCCCATTCATACGGGCGCTCACAGGGCTCGAGGTTCAGGGGCCTCTGCGGTAGGGGGTTCAATCAATGAGGTTTGAAGGTTCAAAGCTTAGGGGCTTCGCGGTAGGGGTTGAGGGTTTACCTTCCTCCCTGCCCCACAAGCACCAACACACAGATTTTTCGTGCAGGCCCACCCTGAACCCTAAACCCTAAACCCTAAACCAGAGGCGAAGAGGGGGCTTCGAGTCTAGAACTCCCTGGCGCCGAGGGACGTCTCCGGTCGCCGGCTGAACTGCATCTCCCTCCGCAGAACCGTCCAAAACCTCATGTGAAGCAGGGTATATATTACTGTTTTTGGTGAGTGTATATAAGGTTCCTTTTTAATATTGGTGAGTGTATATACATGGTGTCCTTTTGGGGGTACAAGAAATATATACCCTACTTCATGTGAGCCCCCTGGCTAAACTCAGGTTAGATTAAGGGGTTCTATGAATGCTGGGTTTAGGGTTTCAGGTTTAGGGTTTAGGGTTTAGGGTTTAGGGTGTAGGGTTTAGGGTTTAGGGTTTAGGGCTGAATGGTCAAGCACTGGGGATCAGGGCACAGGGTCCCGGGGAGTTAAAAGGAATTCATCAGCCCAATATCTCTGACCAGGCCCTCAATAAGCCTGACGACAGGAACGCCACAAATCCTATAGACACCTGCAGATTGCGGGATCAACACCCATCGGCTTAGAACAAAAACAGGAACCCCACCTTTAGATCAAACCTCCCCCTGCTAGAGTTGCCGAGAAGCAGGGACAAGTGCTGGCTCGGAAGTTGCAGATGCTCGAAAACCTGGGTCATGGAGGACAGGGGCAGCTCGCTCTTTGGCAGGCGCTCGGTAGGACTCCTTGGGCAAACAGGGGGGCTGAGCTGCAAAGTGTTCCAAGCGCAAGCAATAGTACCTCAATTAAGGTTCCAATGTAGGTTAGCTCACTTATAACCCTACTGAGTGATAACTACCCATGGACCTTCAGGTAGGGCCAGAGGGTTTAGGGTTCTAGGGTCCAGGGCTTTGACTTTGACGGTGCCAGAAACCCTCGGGCCGTAGGCTTCTGTCTGAGGGCGTCCCCTGCAAAGAAGCTAGATCACGAAAACAACGGGCATCAGGAACGCACTCCTTGTTGATCACAGAAGCCCCAACCACGACAGGTTCCACTCCCAAGGCAAACCCTAAACTTTAGACCCTAAACCCTCAACCCTAAGCCCTAAACCCTAAACCCCAAACCCTGAACCCGAAACCCTAAACCCTAAGCCCTAAGCCCTAAGCCCTAAACCCTAAACCCCAAACCCTAATTCCTAAACTAACTCCAAGGATCTGCAGCGCAAACTTTTGAAAGACCGCCGAGCTGAGCTTGGCGTACGCATCCAGGCTGGCAATGGCCGCCGACACGCGGTGCACCTCACAAGCGTGGGATCGGGTCGACCATGGAAGCTTTGAGGGGACACTGGGATTAGGGTTTAGGGTTTAGGGTTTAGGGTTTAGGGTTTAGGGTTTAGGCTTTGGGCTTTAGGGCTTAGGGTTTAGGGTTTGGAGTTTAGGGTTTAGGGTTTAGGATTTAGGGTTTGGGGTTTGGGGTTTAGCCCCCTATACCCTGAGCGCTACACCTCCATGCAAACATTGCAATGAGAGCTTCCATCAATGGGGTACCCAATGATACCCGTAAAGATACAGAGTCTCCTCAAAAGGAGCCACGGACCCAACGAAACCACCAAACCCTAAACCCCTCATTTTCGGACGGTTTAGGGTTTAGGGTTTAGGGTTTACGGTTTGGGGTTTAGGGTTTAGGGTCGAGGGTTTAGGGTCTAGGGTTACGGTTTAAGGCTTAGGGCTTCGGGCTTGGGGCCTCCCAACAAGCTCAGCCCTGCACCAAAGCAATGTGCTCTGGATCCTCGAAAACCTCGTGATTCAGCGGTGGGTACTGTGGACCTCGGCCGACTCACTGGGTTCCTAAGTTTTTCGAGTACTAAAATGTCGGGTGTATGATTTAGGGTTTAGGGTTTAGGGTTTAGGGTTTTCGGTTTAGGGCTTAGGGTCTAGGGTCTAGGGTCTAGGGTTTAGGGTTTAGGGTTTAGGGTTTAGGGTTTAGGGTTTAGGGTTTAGGGTTTTCGGTCTAGGGTTTAGTTTAAGCCTAGGTTTGAAGGTTTTATGGGCATCTTGGGGGTGGCCTAAGCCCACTGTAAACCCCCCAAGTTGTGGGCTGCCTGAGAATGCCCTGCAAGGGTCTTCGGGTCTTCGGGATTCCGGGGTTGAAGCTCCTGAGCTCGGATGGTCATACAGGCTTGCAGAACAGAGAACCACAACCCTCACAGATGGGTTCCCTTCGTGAATGGGCCCCAAACCCTAAACCTCAACCCTAAACCCTAAACACTACAAGAGCACATCTCTGCTTCAGAAAAGTCGGGGAGTTTTGGATTGAGCGGTGCCTGGAAAACTTCGTCCGGACAGCCCCACCCTCATCCCTCAACCCCATAGGCCCTAAACGACAAAACACGTAAACCCCCAAAAGCCCTATCTAGAACGTAGACGCCTGTGACATCCAAAAACGGGTTTAGGGTTTAGGGTTTAGGGTTTAGGGTTTAGGGTTTAGGGTTTAGGGTTTAGGGTTTAAGGTTTAGGGTTTAGGGTTTAGGGTTTAGGGTTTAGGGTTTAGGGTTTAGGGTTTAGGGTTTAGGGTTTAGGGTTTAGGGTTTAGGGTTTAGGGTTTAGCCCCCAAGCCCTCCACCGTCAACCCGAAACCCTAAACGCTGTTCAAGCTTATTCAGGAACTTAGGCCCTTCTGGTTTAAGGTTGAGTGCTGAAGGTTCTCATCCCCAAACCCTAAACCCTAAACCCTAACCCTAAACCCTAAACCCCAAGCCCTAAACCCTAGACCCTAAACCGTAAATCTTCTGGGCCCCGGACCCATCTTAATAACGGCGCTGAGCCCGTGGGAGCTTTGCGCGAACGCATTCGCATCAAGGGTGGCCCTGGCAAAAAGGGGTTTGGCCGGTTTCGGTTTTGGAGTTTAGGGTTTAGGGTTTAGGGTTTAGGGTTTAGGGTTTAGGGTTTAGGGTTTAGGGTTTAGGGTTTAGGGTTTAGGGTTTAGGGTTTAGGGTTTAGGGTTTAGGGTTTTAGTTTTGAGGGTTCTTTGGGGCTTCCCGGTTTTGGGGTTTCAGGGCTTCAGGGTTTTTTGTAAGGTTGAGGTTTGACAAGTGACCTCAGGCTTCACTCAACCTAAACCCAAGCACTGATACCTTTCAGGCCTAAACCCTGAACCTGTGAACCCCAAATGCCAAACCCCTAACCCTGAAACCCTGAACTTCATAAACCCCAAGCCCAGAGGCCCAAACCTGCTTTGGAATTCGGGCCTTGAAGTTTACGGATGCCGATTTTTTTTAAGGGTTGATAGGGTTGATAGGTTTAGAGGGTTTGCAGGGCTTGTATGGCTTACAAGCTCATACCGTGCATAGTTTATACGGTTTGCAGATTTTATGGGGTTTATACAGCTTATGCGGTTCGTACGATTTGCAGGGTGTGTGCTAGGGTCTTATAAGGCATATTGGGTTCGATGAGTTGGTTCAGGCGGCTGTCCATAACCATCCTGCGCAACAGTGGTCCGAAAAATGTGCCCGGCAAAAGACATCTCCGTTGCCTCAGCCCATCGTCGGCAGGCACGTCTGCCTCAATCCGATGCCCGAAGCCCTGAACATCCCTAAACCCTAGACCCTAAACCCTAAACAGCCGAAGCCCCAAACATCCCTAAGCCGTTGTCTGCTCGGGGCTCCGCAGAAATGAAGGAGTGGGGCAGTACTAGATACTACTCAAGCTTGGGATGCTCCCCCTTATACTAACAGTTCTGTATGGGACTATAGTGCCCCCTAATAAGGGGGAACATCCCAAACTCAGACAATTGTCACATATTTTGCTATGACGAACCCTTCCCCCTTTCGAACCAACATCCATCACCCAAACGTGTCAACTATACGGGCTGTGGCCCATTGCATTCAAGGAACTGGTGCCATGGCTGGCCCAATCGGCAACGAGCACTGCATCTTGCAGCAAGAAGCCGCTTTGGCTCTTTTTTTTATAATGGGCAGGTTTCCAATGGCTTCAAAGTTGCCTCCTGCCGGGTACCCTGAATTTATGGCTCCGCGTGTCAACTGCAAATTTTAAGAGGGACCACACTTGAGAACAACGGGCAACGATGCATTTGGCAACGGCATCGTAGCCTGCATGTCTCGATCATGAGCTAGACAGCTAGACAGGCCCCCCGCAGCTCCGCGCAAGCGCACCATGCTTTAGAGGCTAGAAAATCAAGTAATACCACAGGTTACCCTACTTAGAACCATACTTCTGACTTCCCATGAACCTTCAAAAACAAGTCAGAGCTCAGGCACAAGCTATCACATGTTGTCATTCCTGTGTGCCGTTCACCATGCGCCGAGGAGAACTACATATTTGTAATAAGTATGTGGGGTAAGTTTGTCATGCTTAACTAGGGAATGGTCGGGGGCCAAATGAGGATTTACGAAAATTGTGGACCCCTAGAAAAAAAAACAAACAGTAGGCTTCCCTTAAAACAAGGACCCCCAAAAAGGTACCCCTAACAACCCTAAACCCTAAACCCTAAACCCTAAACCCTACAGTAAACCCTAAACCCCCAAATGTTGGCTGTTGCTTCTTTCGCAAGATCCAGCTTTGGGACAACACATCAGCGCAGCCATTGCCAGCCCGATGCCATTTTGCAGCCATGTGGACTTCTCAAAAAGTACAGGGTTTAGGGTTTAGGATGTAGGGTTTTAGGGTGTTAGTGTGAAGCACAGAGAACTTCTTCGTCCTTTGTATGATGTTTATGATGGTCCTCGTATTGGCATTCAAGAATCATCTCCCATCTAGGGCAACCCGGACCCCCTTTTGACTCGTCGCAAGGCCTTCAACTTCCGCAAGGCATGTTCGGCCCATGCAGAGAAAACAGCTGTGGCTGTGCAGGCGGGCCCCCGGGGGTAGGGTTTTCGGGTTGCTGTCTTGTGGTTCCCTTAGTGTTTCATATTGGTAGCGGAGCCTGTGTGCTCCTTAGGTTAGGCTTAGGGTAGTGGGGACGAGCCATGTCAATCCCGTTCGATGGCGGCGACGGGAGTGTTCGTTCTGGGCATGAGCCTGAAGAGCCGGCTGAAAGGGGAGATCGTGAAGACGCCCCTCCTAGTGTGACCAGTGAAGGAGATCCCTGGGCAAAGCAAGGCTCTTGGGAGGGCCGACAGCAGAGCTCAGGGGCATGGGAGAGTCGAGATTCCGAGTGGGCGAACTGGCAAAGCCGTGCCGGTCATAGAGAATCTGGACGTTGGGAGTGTCACTATCAGCCAGATAGTGGGCGAGAAGGGAGCTGGACTGCCTCGACCGAAGATGCGAGCAATGCCCCCCGATGGTGGCGAGATCCTTGGCAGCCTCAAGCAGCTCCCTCGGCAGATGGTCGAGACGGCCGTTGGGACCCCGGTCTTTTTGGACATGCTCAAGAAGATCCCTGGGCAGATGGGCGAGATGGCCGACGGCAAGGGTACGATTATCCGCACCGAGATGAAGTAAGTGGAACCAAATGGACGAATGAAGACAGTACCACGAGGGCATGGACCGGCTGGCGGCACTTTGGCGGAGGCTTCCGGTCAGACGACCAAGTATGGGATGATCGCCCGAGGCCACAGGGGCGACCTTCCGAGAAGCTTAGCGTTCCCAGCTTCTCAGCAGAAGACGGCGATGATGTTGGGACCTCGGCAAGGTCCTACCTTCGACAGATAGAGGCCTGGCGAAGAATGACCTTGTTGCCTCCGCAGCAGCAGGGACTGGTCTTGTACCAGCACTTGGGCGGCAAGGCTTGGGTCGCCGCCGAGGAGCTCGATGTCGACCAGCTCAGCAGCGCCGGCGGTGTTAGCTACCTGGTTTCCTGGATCACGGCTCGCTTCTTGGACTTGGAGATCACTCGCATCGGGAAGGCCTTCTCGGAGTTCTTTCGGCGACTTCGTCGTCGACCAGGCCAGAGTATCCGGGACTATAACAGCGAGTACGACCGTCTCCACGCCCGACTCCGTGAAGTGGGATGCAACCTGCCGGAGGCTTGTGCTGCTTGGGTTTATGTGGACAGGCTTCAGTTGGATGAGACAGCTGAACTCAACCTCCTCGCGAGCGTCGGCAACTCGTACTCCTTGCAGAAGCTCCAGCAGGCGGCGGTCATCCATGATCGAGGACATCGCAAACCTTGGGAAGGCGCTAAAGGAAAGAAGCTGCACAACACCCACATGACCGATGCCTACGACGACTCCGATGCGGACTCCCTTGGAGATGAAGAGGGAGAAGGTGTTGCTGAGGAAGTAGCCACTGCCTATGTTGCCTTCCAGAATGCCAAGGCCAAGTACCGAGACCAGAAGAAGTCCCGAGGCTACGACGTTGCCACCGACAAGGACAAGGGCCGCGATGGAGGAAAGGAGGGCAATGCCAGAGAGGAAAGGATCCGCGCAATGAAAGCAAAGTCCTTCTGCTCAGGATGTGGAAGACGAGGTCACTGGCATAAGGACAGCCAATGTCCGAACAATCGGGCTGCTGCGAGCGGGGACGTCAAGGAGGTCGAGGTGTGCTACAACTTGCCCTCCGAAGTGTTCGCCGTCAAACACTCCAAGCACTCCTTGCTCGGCATCACGGACACCGCCTGCGCCAGGACGGTCGCTGGAACGAGATGGTTGCAGGACTACACCGATGCCCTCGAAGTCCTCGGGATGAAGCCGGCCTTGCACAAGGAATGCGAAGCCTTCAGGTTTGGGGCCGGCAAGGTCTACTACTCCTCCTTCTACGTGATCGTGTCTTTCGAGCTGGGCGATAAGATCGTCGAGGTCAAGACTTCCATCATCAGTGGCGACATCCCGTTGCTGTTGTCCAAAGCCGTGCTGGGAAAACTTGGCATGATCTACAATGTCGGGACCGGCGACGCTGACTTTGTCGAGGTCGGACTGAGGGGGTACCGCCTTGTCACAACTGCATCCGGTCACCCGGCAATTCCCATCGTGCCGGCGAAGCCAGCAGAGACGGGGGATCCACTCCTTCCAGTTGAAGACCTTCGCCTGCAGTCGCGAGAATACATGGTGTACGCCGTTGCTTGTGCTGCTGGGTCAACCGATAGGGGGTCTTCCATGTTGAACCTCTTCCACGACAAGAAGTTAGACCCTGGGGTCAAAGGTATGCTCATCCACCCCCGTTTCCAGCACAGTACTTTCCTATCTTGGTGGCAAGCTACGAAGGTCACTGGGGACTTCTGGGTTGAAAGAGACGACGCCTGGATACGAGTACATGTAACGCCGAGAAGGGCACAGTTCAATCCCTCCACATGGCGCACGCATTCTTCCATGCTGAGAGATATGTTGCTGACTAGTCTTGGGGACATTAGGAGCACAGAAGCGGTTTGTTGCAGTTCTGAGAGGTGGTTGGAAACTGTAGTAGACCGATGGACGGTTGAGAGCGACTCCGAATCTACACTTCCGCTGCTTTGGATTGGAAGGACTGTGCTCAGTAAGAGCTTCGGTCGGCCCCTGCCTACTCCTTCGCGACCGGCAGCCGATGGAGCCTCGAGCATGCGGCAATCCCCCGGCGATCAGCAAGATGACCAAAGCGCAGCTGTTGGAAGAATGCAATCGGGTGGGTCTCCTGGTGCACCACTCTTGGTCGGTGGAAGAACTCAAGTCATGCATTCAAGAACATCGGCAAGCGCACCAGGAAGTTGGAGCCAGAATGACCCGCCTTCACCAGATGAACATGGAGCAGCTTCGTTTACAAGCCAAGGAGCTGGGAATTCAGTTCGTCTCCAAGACCTCAAAGGGGAGCCTCCTGAGGATGATTCGCGACAACATCAACACCCCAGCGGAGACCCTGATGCCCATCGGAAAGTGGAAGGGGCTGCAGTACAAGGAGATTCCGAAGGAGTACGGGGAGTGGTGTCTTCAGGAACTCAATTCGAACTCCGACCCGGACTTCGTTCGCTTCGCCCGGTGGTACGAGAACGACAAGAAGGCCAGGGAGCGGAGCTATGTTGGGACAGGGAGCGACATGTCAGCACCTTTTCCTCGGAGTCCGACTTCCAGACCGGGAACCTCGGCGGTAGCGACAGGCTCATCGGATCAGATGTCATCGACAAGGACCGATTGGTCGGTGGTGTCAGCTGCGATGTCCGAGAAGCAGAGGGTGATCCCCGTCGAAGCAACGCCCAACAAGAAGAGAGCCGGGAATGCCGAGACAACCAGGATGGAGGCGGAGATCGACGAGGAAGCCCTGGAGGAGATCAGGCGGCTCGAGGCCCAGCTTGCAGTGCTCAAGAACAAGGCCGGGTATCCGGGAGCAGACCATGGCCGTCAGTGAGGGATTCCGGGAACTCCTGCGAGCGACGAAGACGCCAAGGATGCTGTGGTGATTTCGACTTGCAAGATGGCATCACCGAAGAAGAGATCCTCCTCGCCTCCAAGAATAACTGCACCTACCTGATCGCCGAAGCCGAGGAAACCTACGAGGGGCCGCTTGTCAACCCGTTGCTTAGCCAGGCCCGTAACGCCTACGTCAACGGTGACTTCTCCTTTTCCACATGTCGAGAGCTTTTGGAAGGCGCTCGTCTTTTGAGAAGCACCATGAGTCGAGGAAGTGCCTTCAAGCAACAAGACCAAGATCCTGACAAGCGCCCGCATGAGCATACCCTCTTCGGCTTGTTCACCCATGGTGGCGTTCATGGTCTTACCAAGGCGACGGAGTCCAATGACTGGGTGGCTCGGTATGTTAATGCCTTCGGAAAATTCCATCTTCCAGAAGGCACCACTTGGACATCGGTGTCGGTGATGTGCAATGTCGCCGCCGGTGTGCATTGCGACTACAACAACAGTCCCGACTCCTACAACCATGCTATTAGCTTTGGACAGACCAAGGGTGGAGAACTATGGATTGAGGAAAAGATCGAGGGTCAAGAGCAAGGTCTTCGTCAAGATCTCCTATGGAAGAAGGACAAGCAAGGCAATTGGATTCCCGGGACCGTGCAGTCGACCCTGGGCAACTTCAAGAGCTTCAAGCCAGGGCTGAAGCATGCGGTCCTCCCTTGGGAAGGGGACCGGTGGAGCCTTGTGTACCACACCACCAGGAGCATCACTAAGATCGGCAAAGAAATCCGTGACCGCCTCAGAAAGACCGGTTTTCCTCTCCCTCGCAAAGGGCGTCAAGACCAATCAGGCGAAAGACAACGTGAAAAGAAGCCGAACAAGCGAACAAGGAACGTTCTCGCCGCGAATGCCAGCAAGATTGGGGTGCTCCTCACCACGCTCGTCGCCGCGGTCACTTCCTATATGTGTGACTTCGGCATGCCCGAGGTCAAGCCCGACCCCATCGTGATGTTCGAGATAGGCGGCCTAGATGGAACTTCAGAAGCCGTCGACCTCGGGAAGGCCGTCCTCGAACCTATGAGCTGGGAAGATTATTCGGACCCAGACAGGCAGGAGACCGCCTACCACTTCGTCTGTGCCGCCTCTCCTAGGGAGTTACGTCTCCACATGCACGATTTACCAAGCAGCGGGTGCGAGGCAGTCATTGCACTGATCTCACGACAGCTTGACGATGGGGGCTGCGTGGTCCTTCAGGGAGAAGATCTTCATGGCATCGCCGACAAGTTCCCCGAGTACATCCGCTACCGGCAAGGAGATGGGGATACCGCTTGGGTCGTCCTCGAAAGAAAGAAAGAGGCGCAGCGGACTGTGCCGAGCGATTTCCCGCCGTACAGTGTCTGCGTCGTTGGAGAGGCTGCAGAAGAAGACGAACGACAGCCAGCCGATTTTGTCGGGAACGGATCAGCGATCACCTTCGACACTGCAGCGAGCTCACTGGTCCAAGGAGCCCTACGGCGACTCCACCAGAACCTAGGTCATCCGCGATGTGAAGATCTGGTGAGACATCTGAGGTTAGCCGGATGTGAACCAGAGGTCCTCAAGGTTGCCAAAAGCCTGAAGTGTCAGGTTTGCGACAACACTAGCAAACCTAAGATTGCGAGACCCAGCACGGTTCCGCGAATGCTGGACTTCAACCAATGCGTCGGGGCTGACCTCCTCTTTGCTCATGACGTTGACGATGTCAGGCATACCTTCCTCAACCTCGTCGACTGGGGCACCTCCTACCAGGTCGTTGTCGAGATAAAAGGAACTTCTGCTCCCGACTTGGAAAGGGCGTTCAACGATTTCTGGTTGACACCCTTCGGCCCTCCGTCAACGATGTCAGTGGACCTAGAAGGAGGACTACAGAAAGGATTGGGAAGGCTTTGCGATTGGCACAACATCAAGGTCAAGCATGTGGCGGCCCAAGGACACTGGCAAGCAGGCATCACCGAGCGACAGGGAGCCTGGTGGAAGGATATTTGGGAAAGAGTCGTTCATGACATGAGTATCAGCAAGAACGAAGCCCACCTCGCAGCCACATGTGTGACGAGTGCGAAGAATCAACTCCGGAGACGTTGCGGCCACAGCCCATTTTCGTGGGTTTTCGGTCGTGATCCCCGCATGCCTGAGGACCTCCTCGACCCTGACTCCGGAGAGAAGGTCACATGGGACGTGTCGGCGGAGAGCAAATTCCAACGACAGATGGCGGTGAGGTCGGCAGCCAGAATCGCGTTCCACAAATCGCAAGGGGACGATCGTCTTCGCAAAGCTTTGATGCAAAGAGCAAGGACCACATCGCGACCCTATGAAATTGGAGAGCCTGTTCACTTTTGGCACCAGCCAAAGAACCGCCGAAGGGGAAGGTGGGCCGGACCAGCAGTGGTCGTCGGCAATGAAGGCGGTAACTACTGGATCAGCCGCAATGGGCGATGTCGCTTGACAGCTCCAGAACATCTACGACCATCAGGACCCGAAGAAGTCGGCGAACTCCTCCAAATGCGCGGCGTCCAGCGCGAAGTGGCCCGACTGCTCGAGGCAGACCTCGATGAGGATGACACCTACGACGGCGACCAGATGGTGAGTGATCTAGATCTCGACCTACAAGGGTACTCGCCTACCGAACTCGATCCGGACGAGGAGATGGCCGTTGCTGAAGAGGATCCGCTTCTGGATGCAAGCGAAGGAGTCGTATTAGAAGCCGACGAAGGAGAAGAGATGAGGAGGCCCACAAGACGACTCAAGAGAAAGACAGCGCCCGGAAACGTCGACTGGGACGCTGAACCGCACCAGGCCATGATCATGAAGCGAGACCTCACGAAGAGAGGGGTGGAAAAGCGCCAAGAGAAGGAGCTGAGGTGGAGCGAGATTCCCAATGACCAGAAGGAGCTCTTCAAGTCCGCAGAAAGGGTGCAGTGGGATGAACACATCTCCTTCGATGCGCTCGAGGCGGTGTCCCTCGAAACCAGTGACTGGATACGAGAAAATATCTCGTCTGACCGGATCCTTCGCTGCAGATGGGCCTATAAAGATAAGAACTGGGCCAGGCGAAGGAATGCTGGAGCTGACGCCCCGAACATCCCATGGAAGTGCAAATCGAGGCTTGTGATCGCCGGGCACACTGACCCCGACCTCGGAAGCTCGCAGTTGACCACCGACGCTCCTACCTTATCACGAACAGGATTGCTTTGTTTGATGCAACGACTGGCCAACGGACTACGAGAACAAGATCCTTGGACGGTCTCTGCGGGCGACATCAGGTGTGCTTTCCTCACCGGAGGGTACCTGAGGCGAGAAGAAGAACTCTTTCTTCACCAGCCCAGCACTGGCTTTCCGGGATTACACCCACGGCAACTGGTGCGGATAAAGAAGAACATCTTTGGCCTTGCCACTAGTCCCCATGAGTGGTGGCAGGACCTGCAAAGTGGAATTCTCGACATGAAGATTGAGCACGAAGACGGGGTGTTCAAGTTCTGCCAGTCCCCCATGGACCCTTGTGTTTTCGCCCTTCGCAGGTGGGATGGCAAAAAGTTCTCCGGGCGCGCCGTGGCATTCGTCGGCACGCATGTGGACGATCTCTTGGTTGTTGGCCCGGGAAGCTTAGCCGAGAAGATGAAGGAACAGCTGTCGCGGGCTTTCCCCATCGATAGCTGGGAACAAGATGTCTTCAACTATGTCGGGGTGGAGATCGTATGCACCAAGGACAGCGTCAGGGTGAACCAGACGGGCTATGTGGACACTAGGTTGTTCCTTCTGCCTCTTCCAAAGGGGTGCCGTGACGAAGACCTTGCCGGGGTCGACCTCATCGCCGACAATAGATCACTCGTGGGGGCCCTCTCCTGGGTCTCCGCTCAAACAAGGCCTGATCTGACTTGTGGAATAAGCTTGGCTCAACAAGTCCAGAAAGCCCCGACCTATGGAGACATTCGCTTCACGAACAGCCTATCGATTCGAGCCACTCAATACAGAGATGCTGGCCTGGAGTTCCATCCCCTGGACCCCGACAACATGGTCACCCTCGTCTACCACGACGCCGCCTGGGCGAACGCGTTCGAGGGCGACATCGGTGAAGAAGGATTCGAGCTGTATGAGGACGACAAGGTTGCCGGCCTTCAACGAGACGTTCCTCCTTCCTTTCATGCTGGGCGGAAGGCTAAAAGGCAGAACTCCAGAGTTGCATCCCAGCTTGGCGGATTGATCCTGTTTGCCAACAAGACCAGTATTGGACGTCAAGCCGGCCATGTCAATGTGGTGGACTGGAAAAGCCGAGCAGGACAGCGAGTTTGCAGGAGCACCTTTGGAGCTGAGACCCAAGCCTGTGTCGAAGGTTTGGAAGGAGGACAGTACGTCAGGTCCTTCTACGAGTCCCTGGTGGAAGGCGAAATCATCGAGGTGCAGCAGGCCAAAATGCCCCTCCTTTGTTTGAGCGACTGCCGCTCTCTCTATGACCACTTGCACAAGCAAGGGGTGCCCCGTGTCCCGCAGGATCGTCGCCTCGCGATAGATCTAGCAGCTCTTCGCCAGCAATTGAAATTCGAACGTTGGAGCTCTAAGCTCCCCCTCGCCTGGGTACCGAGTCCAGCTCAATTAGGCGACATACTTACAAAGCCTCAAGATTCAAAGTCTTGGTGGGCAGACATTGCTGCGCAGCTGCTTATTCCAGTTGCCTGCGACGAGGGAGATGGCTTAGCCAACAGAAGGTTTGTCATAGATGGGAGAACCAGTGTGAAGCACAGAGAACTTCTTCGTCCTTTGTATGATGTTTATGATGGTCCTCGTATTGGCATTCAAGAATCATCTCCCATCTAGGGCAACCCGGACCCCCTTTTGACTCGTCGCAAGGCCTTCAACTTCCGCAAGGCATGTTCGGCCCATGCAGAGAAAACAGCTGTGGCTGTGCAGGCGGGCCCCCGGGGGTAGGGTTTTCGGGTTGCTGTCTTGTGGTTCCCTTAGTGTTTCATAGTTAGGGTTTAGGCTTGGGGTTGCGGGATTCGGGGTTGAAGGGACTCTGCCGCATGGTTGCAAATACAAGTCCTGTTTCACTGGCCAGCAAAGGCTGCTCACTCGTTTCACTACATGATCTACATGAATTCGCCGCCAAGACATTGTCAGCGAGTGCCTACAGCACGGACGTCGATGTGTTGGAGCAAGCACTTTGAGCTTTGCCCGGGAATTTTCCACTGGGGAAAGGATTGTGAAGAAGATACTCCCGTGCAGCCTCATAATCGAACAGCCGCGGGTTCATCCAATATGAATCACAAGCCAGCTCCTTCCAGCAAGAAACGCCCAACATTTCAAGCTTGGCCGTTTCCTTCAGCAACTGCCTTACATCTTGGTTCTTCTTGGTGTGCCTTTCGAACTGCAACTCCTCGACCACCAGCGCTCCGATGGTTAGCTTGTGCCAATCAACGGATTGCAATACTGACAGCTCAAAGCCCTCAACATCGAGGCTGAACACAGTGACCTCATCAACTCCGAGCACATCGAAGAACGCCTGAAGAGGAGAGCAAGGAACTGTAACTATCTCTGCAAGAGACAGGCCCGCAGGACGGCGGTTCAAGATGTGGCCGATAGCTGGGCCACCCCCGAAAAACACTCTGCTGGCGTTGGTGCAGATCGCGCTGGAGATCTTCAGGGCGTTCGGCCGATTGCGATGCAAGACCTTGAAATTCTCAGGGCTCGCCTCAATCAGCATCCCCTTCCAACCCAGACACTTCTCCAAAAAGAAGGTGTTGGTCTCCCTCCAGCCATCCAAACCTCCGAGTTCCAAAAATATGGGATTCGACCGTGCCGATGGGAGCATGAAGGGCAGAACGTGCTTGACCACGATGTGTTCCTCCTTCTCCGAGTTGCTGCAAGCCGCAACACTGTCGCAGCTTTGGCAGCAGGTTTGCAGAGGATCCTCAATACCCCCCGAGGCTCCTTTGGAAAGCAAGAAGCTGGACCATTTAGCCTTCCAGTCGAACTTGGGCCTGTCCAACGGACGAAAACACTGGTCTGCAAAACAAATCATGGTCCCATCCCCGAAAGCGTCTCCGACATTCTCCGGGTCTTGCGCCACAGCAAAAGAGCCACGCGCTGAAGCGTGCTGCATGAGTTGACTGGTGTCTGACCTGTCTTCGCAATGCTCTGCCGCTGCAACAGCGAGTGTCGAAAGTAGCAACGCATGATGCATGGCGCCAAACCCACACCCTTGACACATAAACTAACGCAGGGTAAATCGCTGTAAGTGGCAACTTGTGTGCCAAATGCCTTTTACAAAGACATCAACAATCTTCGAAACTTGTTTTGGCCATTGAGTCATTGAGACTACGGTCACAACCCCTCAACACACGACAACGCAACTTCGTGCGGACGTTATTGGGCATGTTTATGTGCACGAGATGTGCTTACAAGCATGCATGCACGCGATTACTACTACTTGGTTTCCTAACTTGACTGTAACCTACCATAGCGAACAGCAACCAGTCCCAAACACTTTGCGACACATGCTCAAACAGCTGTTGCGCTACGTATGAGGCTTTCCGAAAGTAGTAAACGTACATTATTGCCCTCTTTAAAATACACCTTGCAAATATTCCGAAGTATGTCAGGGTGTATTTTGAACAACCACAATCAGATGAATCTGACCCACTTGAGAAACCAAAAGCATGTACGTTTCTTTCAAAAAGAGGCCATCAAATTTCGACCGCGGCACGTACAACAACACACCATCAACACACACAGTATTTGTTTACTAGCTCTTTGGGCATCCACGTCTGTCATGTTCTGTGCAAGCAGGCTCCAACACATTTCTAGATGCCTCTTCAACCCCCAGCTTACTGCAAGACACCTTTTCCGCACTGGTGAAGGATTCGGTGCACACGAGGAAAGAAACATGCAATGCAACAAACGTTTGTGTGACGATGTTATAACCTGCATTTCAGCCAGGCGCCTCAGCTGTGTTTTCAAACACGTTGACAGACCCTGATGTAAAACGGACCAGGCATGAAACAAAAAACTTGATTTGATCAAGGCTGTCCAGCTGTTCTACGAGAATTGTTTAGCAAGGCGCGCTGTGTCCGAAGCAATACCCGGCCGCGCTGCAATGGCGTGCCATGAACCCGCTGCCTTGCAACTATTTAGTTTTGCTAAGGTGTGAAACGCGGAGCAAGCACACACCGCACTGTTTTCCCTGCAAATGCAGGAGAAAGCACAGTCTGTAAACTTGAAGGTACAAATTGAGTTTTTAGAGTTTTAGAGGCCGAATTCCCCGAAAAGATAGCCAAGAAAGGGCCAAATAAAGGCAAGGTCTCTCTCTTGTATCTGCATTTCAAAACTGACCTCTGTTGTGGCGTGGCCTCTGGCTGTTTGGTTGTGCGGGCAAGTCCTTCCTCCCTGATTTGGCGGGAACTCGTTCAAAAACGCGGTCCTGAGGGCTTAGGGCTGGCTTTTAGAAGGGTCAAAAGTGCCCGTAAAATGCGCGCAAAATCTTTTGGGCCATGGTGCGGCCTGGCAGGCATTGTTCGATCTCCTTCTGACCACAGGCTCACGCTAATTCGCTTCCCATGCCAGCTCGACCCAGGCTTTAGCTCAACTGCAAGACGCAAAAGGTTCAAACAGACTTCTCGTCTGCAAAGAATATTCAACTGGTGGCCAGTCTTCCCGACAATTGGAGCATTAGGACCTGCAACTGCAGAAACAAGTTACTCTGCAACTTCTGGGTGAGAATCTCAAGCAAGCATTCAGAAGGCCACAGCCTCGGCAGGTGCTTTCAAGGGTTTCGGGTTCAACCGCGTGCTTTAAGGTTTGGGGCTCAACTGGAGCCAAGCTTTAGGGTTTCGTGCTCACACGCATGCTTATAAGGTGTCGGGCTGAACTAGCGAGAAGCTTTCAGGTTTCGGGCTCAACCGCACGCTTTAGGGCCTCAACTGGCGGCAAGCTTTACGTTTCGGGCTGACTGCAAGCTGTAGGCGGGCTCACCGCAAGCTTTAGGTTCAGCAAATTGGCGGCAAGTTTCTGTCTTTGCCGCAAGCTTTAGGGACTTTAAGGTCAACTGGCGGCAAGCTTTCGGTTGCGGGCTCACCTTTCAGGGGCTCAACTGCAAGCTTTAAGGAGTTTCGACTCAAGCTTTAACGGGCTCCAGGGCATGTCTGAGGCTCAGGCGGGGAACTGGCTCGCTGCCTGGCGTGACACCCGTGATCCCCGCAACAAAAGCCTTCCCGTAATCGTCGCGACTCTTGTTTGCAAAAATCTCCGCTACATTGCCCGCAAGGTGTTCGGGGAAGACCTGGACCGAGGGTCGGGCAGGGTCGGGCTTGGGTATTGAGGTCCTGCATTAAGATGCAGCATCTCAGTAATACATGCGAGTCTTTGCACGCGGGCCTCGAAGGAATGCGTGGTGAGACGTCACGAGAGAAACAAACAGGGGACAGCATCAGAGCAAAGCCGTTCTCGCGGCCAGCCTTTGCTGCTAGCCTACGGGTCCCGCCAGGTGGCTGGTGCTGCAGCTGCCATGGAGGGTCCCAAGAACTTTTCAATCTCGCTTTGCGAGGGCAGGATCCATTCATCTTTCGTCTTTGCCTTTTGCGTCGACGATCCTCTCATCCAGTAAGCATGCTTCGCAGTCCGTGGCCGTGCGTGGTTGACACTGGCGCTGCCTTCCTTCTGCTGCGCCACCATGACTAAGTCAGTACTGTCTCTCTCTCTCCTCACAGCGAACAAGTCTACTGCCTCGAACTGTGCGTGGCTCGGGAGAACCAGCTGCAGGGTTGGGTACTGCAATGGTTGTGGCAGCTGCTGAATTGCTTCCTCGACATTCTTCGCCGCTGGGTTGGCATCCAGACACTGGACTGCTGCCCCTTCATGTCCATGCAGCCATCCGTGCAATTCGCCGCCCATCTGCTGCCAAATGTAGCGCAAGCCGAAGGCAACGGCGATGATCTTCTCCCACGCCTTGCCATCCTTCTCCTCTGCAGCTTGCATGCCTTGCAGCCACCGTCCAAGAACACCACAGGCAGGGCAGACACTGCTACATTGGATAAGGAAGTGCGACATGAAGCATGGGATCCATATTGGTCTGTTTTTTTGGCTGCCGTCCGTGAGCTGCCTGAAAGCCTCCATCTCTCTCATCAACGTGCCTGCGAGAACCTCGCGCAAGAAGGCGGCAAGGTGCTGTTGCGGGTCTTCCCGGATTTGTGATAATTTTTGTGAGAGCAGAGACCCATCATCGTGCGAGGACCAAAGGAGTGCTGGGACTCTTGAGTAGTAGGCTGCTTTCATGTGCGTCAAGCCAGAAAATGCTGGCGACATGTTCTGCAGCTCTCCGAGCTCATCTGCGAATGGCAAGCCTGTGATTTCCAGCCCCCTAACGGAGTCGCCCTCCATGTACTGGGTCAAGTCTAGCCCCGTGGACTGAATGTGGGAGGTGAAGACCATGTAGGTACCTTCAGGGCCAAGGAAGACATTTTTCATGAAGCGGGCGGCATCTTGCTCTGCTTTCTCTTCCTCTTTTGTGGGGCCCCTCAGCAACAGTTGGTTAAGCTCATCGACTAGCAAAACAACGTTCTTCTGGCACTCGAAGTAGGATTGCAGAGTCGACTTCTGACACGTCTTGTTTCCGAATTCGTCTGCCACATCCTGACGAAGCGAACTGTTGGCCGGGAGCAGCGCATACGCAATAGTCCGGTACAGCCACTCGTCCGCTAGCTCGTTGTCCCGCCGTTTGACGGGGCTTTCCCCGTTGAAGGACACAAAGATGGGGAGGTACTCAGTTTCGGCCAGTCTCTCGCCAAGCTTTAGCAGGAAGGTGGTCTTCCCACCTCGCGCACATCTTGCTGCGCAGGTGGGCGGCACGCGGTTCGTGAGACTCACATCGCTTCGGTTGATGTACTTCTCGATCAAGCCCATGCAAGCTTTCACGCAGGCATCGATCCCCACAAGCCTCTGTCCATCCTGTAGCTTTGCTGCGGGGACGCGCGCTTGAGACAGCGGACCGAGTTCTTCTTCCTGCGAAGGGGAGCATGAACGCCAAACACAAGGTTTCCCTACGCACTCTCCCCATGTCCTTGATGACCCTTGGCGCTGCCTTCGCCTGCAGGGTCCAGCCACTTGCAAAGCTGAACTGGCCACAAACCTTCCGGATACCTCCGAAAACCACCCAAAGTACAAGCAATAATGACACGAGCAGCTCCACCTGTCCAAGATGGCAGCCTCTTTTGAAACACCCGGAAAACGTTGCCGCAGACCTCTGGCACTGTGCCTCCGAAGCTTCCCTTCAAGTCGAACCTTAAAAAAGCAGCTGCACCGCGAGCCTCACTGCGCTAAAGCTGACCAAACAGGACAGCCCTCCAAGGCTTAGCCAATAGCCCTCTGCTCCGAAAGCCCCTCCCGCTCCCCGAACTGCTGCAAGCCAACACTGAAGCTTAACGACGAGGGGATCCTTGCTGAGAGGAGAGCATGAAGCCAAAAAGCAACAACGGTGGACCGCACGAAAAACCCACGACGACCAAGAGCCCCGGACATGCAGGAGTGCTAGGCAATACGCCCACGCAGAAGCCCCCGGCCTGCACTCGTCTTGCCGGAACCCCACTGCTCGGCAAGGTCCGCGTGCTAAAGGCACTAAGAACCCAGGTCCCTTGACTCCCCCTCACGGACTAACCTGAAAGTCGAGCCGCAAACAAAAACAACCGCAACCTGGAGAGCGCAAAGCGAGCGCAAAACAGGCTGACCCCCCCACCTCGAGCCTAGGACTGACACCCCGTTCTGAAGCATCGGCAAAACACGAGGAGCAACCAGAATTGCATGAACCTAAAGCAGACAAGAGCCCCTCCCACTCCCCGAAGTGCTGCAAGCTAACACAGTGAAGCTTAACGACGAGGGTATCCGAGCTGAGAGGAGAGCATGATCCCAAAAAGCAACAACGGTGGACCGCACGAAATGCACTCTCCCTTGGCGCCGGCCTCGGCTGTCGGCAAGGACACGGCAGCGATGCGTTCGGCCAGGACTTTGCGCGGCCCCATGCGAATGTTCATGTCTTGCATGTCGTTCAAAGTCAACTTCAAAAGCGCCTTGCCCATGATATCCTCGCTGTTGATAATATTTGTAATATTCTGTACCGTCTCCTTGCCGCAGTTCGCCTCTTCCAAGACCGCTCTGGCCCAATAACCGACCTGCTCATCCACACTGACTCGAAGCACTTTTGCAAAAGAGACATCGCAAGCCGCACCTCCTCAGATGTAAACAAGTCGATCTCGCCAGCTGTCTTTTTTAGCCACTCGGCCTGCAGCAAGCGGCACACAAATGCTAGTGTCAGCGAGCCTTCGCAGAGCCCGCCTGATCGAAGCTTGCTTTGGCCTGCAGGAGCCACACATAACTACGAAGCCCTCACCAGCAAGAACATGCTCCTTGAAAGTGCCTCGGCCGTCGCCTCTTCCACGGAATCGTTTTCTTTGGGGGCCTCCCAACATGGACTGATCCCGAGAAGACCTATATACATGTGCTGCTGGCAGGACCGTTTCATGCAAGCATGAAACCCTCGCAATCGATCCCTCAAGCTCCTCGAAATTCGCCTGATGCTCCCGTCGAGCAGCTTTCGATGCGAAATCTGAACACACGCCGAAAGGACAAGCAAACCTCGTCTTCACGAGATTGCAGAGGCCCTTGCTCAGAAAATGAACACACTCGGGCAGGAGCGAAGGAAACGCCGTCAGAACAGCACAAGGAACGCCACGCCGAAACGACAAACCCTTTTCGCCTTGACGTCTTCACTGTCTTGGGCCTCACCACGGCCAGCCTCAGCTCTTCAGGACATACGCTTAACACTGAATTTCCTCTCGGTCTCGGCTTCCCGCCTTGGCCCTGCGTGCGACCAGCAAGTTCTGTGCCCATATTCCCGGAGGAACCGACCTCGCGCTGGCTTGCGGATCTTCGGCGTTCCATGCCATACATCACATCCCACCTTGGAAACTGCACGGCCCCCGCTCCTAGCAAAGCCCGCGCCGTCTGCGCTGCTCGCCTGAGGCTGCTCGGGAAACCCTCTAACACTGTTCAAAGCACTGGTCTTAGGCTCTGGCAAAGACACCCAGAGCAGCGCCAGTAGCACCACAGCGCGCCCGACCTTGCGCGATGTTGCTGGAGGCCGGCTCATGGCGGCAATCGTCCTAGCTGTCCTCTGGCTCGAGCAAAAGCACTGCAATCTGCATGAACGAATGGTCGAGCTCCCCCTATTTCAGTCACGGGCCAAGTGTTTAATTAACCAACTGCAATTCAACATGCGAAGCAGTTGCAAGTGTGCACAGGCAACTGCTGCAAGATGCCTCGGTCGGGGTTCTCGACAGGGATCGGGCCTTGCGGCGGCACACTCCCCCAAAGCCCATGACATGTGAAACCTTGCCACCCCCAAAGGCCCGTGAAATGTGAAACCCTGGCCCCAGTCTCAGGGTGGGAGGGGGATGGTGGGCATGGGAGGGCCGGGTGGGCAGTGAAGGGCCTGTAATCTTTCGAGCGCCCTTGGGGGCAGGTGAAGGGCTTGGGGTTTCTCGCGCTTCTGAAGGAGGTGGGAGGGCTCGGTTGGCCTCAGAGGGCAGTGAAGGGCCTCCAATCTCTCAGGGCGCTTCTCAGGTGTGGGAGGGCTCGGCGGGCCTCAGAGGGCAGAAAAGAGCCTCTCATCTCTCGCGCTTCTGACCGGTTTCAAGGTGGGAGGGCTCGGTGTGCCTCAGAGGAGCAATGAAGCGCCTCCTCACCCCCAAAACGTCTGTGCCCCCGTAACCCTGTGACCGTGACCCCCATGCCCCCCCGTAACCCCGTAACCCCGTGACCCCTTTCCCGTGCCCCCTGTAACCCCGTAACCCCGTAACCCCGTAACCCCGTAACTCCGTGACTCCGTGACCCCCCGTGCCCCCCGTAACCCCGTAACCCTGTGACCCCCTCCCCGTGCCCCCCGTAACCCCGTAACCCCGTAACCCCGTGACTCCGTGACCCCCGTGCCCCCTGTAAGCCCGTAACCCCGTGATCCCCCCCCCCGATGCACCGGTGCTCAAAATCCCGGCTCGAAAGGGTCACGGGGTTACGGGGTTACGCTTCCCATCCCGGCTCGAAAGGGTCACGGGGTTACGGGGTTATGCTTCCCATCCCGGCTCGAGAGGGTCACGGGGTTACGGGGTTACGCTTCCCATTCCGGCTCGAAAGGGTCATGGGGTTACGGGGTTACGCTTCCCATCCCGGCTCGAAGGGTCACAGGGTTACGGGGTTACGCGCTTCCCCATCTCGAAAGGGTCACGGGGTTACGGGGTTACGCTTCCCCATCCCGGCTCGAAAGGGTCACGGGGTTACGGGGTTACGGTTACGGGGTTACGCTTCCCAGTCCACCCAGAGAAACAGCACAGCCACTCCCGAGGTGCGCAGGACAATCAGCCGAAACACACCCTAAACCCTGCCTGCCGATGTGCTCGAAGATGTTGAAGAGGATGGCAAAAGAGCACCTGGGCCGCGAGAGGGGGCCCGGGGTTCCCGGAGAGGCGGGGGAGACGCAGGTAGAGCTACAGGGGAAGGGGAGGAAGGGCAGCACAGGGCACTCCTGGGCGCACACTGACCAGACCTCGCTGCCTCGGAGCCCTTGCCTACCAACTTAAACCCTAAACCTTGAACCTCTGCGGCGTCAGGCTCGGGAAAGCGGGGCGTGACTTGTGACTTCTGGGTGTCGGGCTCGGGAAACACGGGCGTGACTTTTGGGCGTCAGCCTCGAGAAAGCGGGGCGTGACTTGTGACTTTTGGGCGTCGGCCTCGGGAAAGCGGGGCGTGACTTGTGACTTCTGGGTGTCGGGCTCGGGAACACGGGCGTGACTTGTGACTTTTGGGCCTCGGCGCGACAAAGAAGGGCGTGACCTCTGGGCTGCGGCGTAAAAGCTCTTCAACTCCACTTGCCTCCGAAACCCGCTAAAAAAAGGCACGCCTCAATTCCAGGCAAGTCGCCACCCGAGCCCCCGAACCCCAAAAGTCACGCCCCTCCCCTCCGGCCCAAAACCCAAAAAGTCACGCCTCAACTCCCGGCCCAGGCCCCCAAAAGTCACAAGTCACGGCCCCTTCTCCGGGCCCAAACCCCCCAAAGGTCACAAGTCACGCCCCCTCCCCGCCGGCCCAAACCCCAAAAAGTCACGCCCTCAATTCCCGGCCCAGGCCCCCCAAAAGTCACAAGTCACGGCCTTTTCTCCCGGCCCAAAACCCCCCAAAAGTCACAAGTCACGCCCCTCCCCTCCGGCCCAAAACCCAAAAAGTCACGCCTCAATTCCCGGCCCAGGCCTCCCGGCCCAGGCCCCCCAAAAAGTCACAAGTCACGCCCCTCCCCTCAAGCCCCAAAACCCACCAGTCACGCCCTCCCGCTTCCCAGACCCCGAACCCCAAAAAAGCCACCCCTTCGGTCCAAAATCCAAAACTGCGGCCTCGTCTACCATGAAGGTGTCGAAGAAGCAGGCGACACCACAGCGAGGACCTGAAAGCAAGAAAAGGGCCCGGGGTTCCCGGAAGAGGTGGGGGAGACGCAGGGCACTGTAGAGCTACAACGGGAGGGCAGGGCACTCCTGGGCGCACACTGACCAGACCTCGCTGCCTGGGAGCCCACAAGCCTGCAACCCGAAACTCTACCGACCCTGAAGCCTCTGCGGATCACAGGAGGGGCCCGGGGTTCCCGGGAGGAGGAAGGCGCAGGGCACTCAGACGACCTCACTGCCTCACACCTGCCAACCCTAAACCCTCAAGCCTTGCAACACAGCGACGCACAAACTTCCAGACCTCGCTGCCTCAGAACCCCCAACCACCTTCCCAAACAACCCCTGAACCTCTGTAGCGCCCGGCGTTCGGTCCTGTGTCAGGACCCTGTGTGCTGTCTTCCTTAGAAGTGTTGCTGGCGTTGCCTGCTGCTGTTGCGACCACACCATAGATGCTGAAGGAGGGTCTCTAGTTGACATATGATTAGGATTAGGACGGTATCTTGTCTATTGCTGGCGCTTCGAGGAGCGAGCGCGGCCCAAGCACTCTAGCAAAAAAAGCGCAGGAAAAAAAGCAAAAAACATGCCCAAAAACTATGCGAAAATCAAGCAAAGTCATGCCAAAATCAGCAAGAACATGCGGAACAAAAAATGCCAACGTTTAGGGTTTAGGGTAAATCCTAGGGGGTTTAAGGCAGGCCTGCTCGCCCTAGAGCAGTGATTCTTAGGCCTGCTCGCCCTGGAGCAGTGACGAGTTTCTAGGCCGCTGCCACGAGTCACTAAACGCAGTGGTGGCAACCGGTCATGTTCGCGATTCTGGCCAAAAACTCGACCGGCGAAGGGGGGCCCGCTCGGGCGACGACCTTTTTTCCGGGCACTTGGTTCAAAAGTCATGAGCTGGGCTCAACAACGAGAAGCGATTAGAATTGCAGCCGAGGCCGGGGTCAGGGCGAGGACCTCGGCGGCAGGCTCAGAAACCCTTCCTTTGGCACACCACCACCTCCGCTACGCGATGCTCAGCCCCCCGAACGGCGAGCTCACGAGGGCCGGCCAGTACTACTACCAACTGATCGACCGGCCGCCCCCGAGCCGGCAGTACGACCGCAACCAACCCCTCATCCGCGAGGGCCCGAACGATTACATCATGCTCCGGGGCGGCGCCAAAAAGCTGCTCCGCAGCCTCCAGCCCAACGGGAACTACCACTTGACCAAGCTCGGGAAGAGCTTCTTCAAGGACAAGTGGGTGGACTGGGTGGTGCACGTGCCCGTCATCATCCGCGGCATCCGGCGAAACGGCCGGAACCGCGGCATGCCCTACGAGCGCACGAAGCGCCTGCCCGTCACGGACCTCAACGTCACACTGCCCCGGCAGAGCGAGGGGCTCTCGGATGCCCAAGCGGCCCGGAACCTCAAGGCGTCCGCGCTCGCGCAGCTCGGGAACCCCGAGCCGAACGACATTATTTGGGAGCTGTCGGACGAGAGCTACTACCTGGACGCGACGAGGGAGTGGACCTTCAGCCAGCAGGCCATGCAGGTCGTAGACGACCGGGTGGTGGTGGAGACCGTCCTGGATCAGCCCCTGAGGGCTCTGCGGGACGTCTCCTACCAGCTGTACTGCGGCGACGAAATCCTAGAGTCCGCCTTCGAACAGCGGCCGGACAAGCTTTGCGTCCCTCGGCAGCTCGCGGAGCTGATGCGGCTGCCGCTGCAGGAGGTGCTTTCGGACTTCGACGCAATCTGCACCAAAAAAACGTGGCGGGAGCAGGGCATCACCCCCCGAGAGATCCGGGAATTCTGCCTTTGGCGCCAGGCCCCGATGTTCTACGTGGACTGCCAGGGCCGCCTGCTGGACAAGTATGAGCCTACCGTCAAGGAGCAGCGGGCCGTGGCCTTCACGAGCTGGAACGGCCACGCCTTCTTCTACAAATCTGCCCGCACCGTCGCGAAGTGCGAGCCGATGGGGGAGCGGGCCAGGTACCGGGGCGAGAGGAAGCCCGGCGAAACGCCCGAGTTCAAGGATTGGCGGGAGTGGGAGGGCGAGGTCGCCAGCGGTCATTTCTACACTGAGGACCTGGAGCAGGTCCGGAGGGAGCTGCTGGCCGAGGGGCACTGCCCGAAGGTGGTCATGCGAAGCATGAGCGAGTGGCGGTGCCTGCGGCTGAGGGTGCGGGGCGGCGAGGACTGCGTCATCTCCGCCTTCCACGAAGACCTGGATGTGCTGCAGGCCTGGATGGGGCGGCTGGGGCTCCCCTATTGCGGGCAGCGTCTGGCGGGTGCCGTCTTCCTTCACCTTCTCAAGGCCCGCCGCGATCCGCCCGGATCTCGGCAAGCCCTGCTCGCGGAGCAGGACCACCAGTGCAAGCTCTGCGCGGCCCCCATCACTGCAACCACGTGCGAGTTGGACCACATCGTCCCCGTGCACCAGTCCTTCGCCGCACAGGCCCAGAACCTCCAGGCACTGTGCCTCGAGCGCCACCGGAACAAGACGGCCCTGGAGTCCTCGCACGCCACGACACTGGAGTCGCGCTTCAGCCGGCGGGCTTACGAGCAGTACGTGGAATCGCCTCGACTCCCGCCGCTCGTCTTCAAGCTCAACAGCCACAAGCCGGACCACATCTGCCACGGTATAGACGTGGTGCGGTGCCGCAAGAACGGTCTGGCCCACGCCAAGTTCCCGGCGCCCATCTTCTGCCCCAAGGACAACGTTGAGCAAGCCCGCGAAGGGCACCTGGCGGACCTGACCTACGTGAGGCTCCGGGAGGACGGGCGTTGGGCGGCGTTCAAGCAGCTCCCCTACGTCGGCCAGGGCTGGTACGCCAAGCCTGCGGTGGCCTACATGCTGGAAAAGGGCCTTGCGACATGGAGCGACTTCGTGTACAGCCTGGACGCCACGGCGCACGTGGACCAGGAGTCCGTGGCTCAGGCCCTGCAGAAAATGGAGGCGGCTTGGCCAGAGGGAGAGGAGCACTACGCGAAGCTGTCGGTGAATGCCCTCATCGGGCTCTGGGCACGCAACATGAACCTCATCTACACCATGCGCACCAGCAACCACCAGTTCGACGGCTCCGGGTGCCAGCACCGGGAGCTGTTCCTGGACGCCGCGGGTGGGATGCACTGGGATCACATCTACGTGACCCAGTTGTTGTCCAACCACAGCTGCCGGCCCGTGCACGACTTCGTGATGGCCTCGGAGTACGTCGCCGTCTCCAGAATCCGGGATGCACTCGCAACCGTGCCGTCGAGGTACCTGAAGGCCGTCAAAACGGACTGCGTCGTTTTCCAGGACCTGCCCAAAAAGTTCCAGGGCCTCGTGGACAGCCTGGTCCGCGAAAGGCATCCCGACGGCACGCCCGTGTACCGATGCGAGGAGGTCAAGGGCCTCGAAGGCCAGTATCGGATCCCCCGAATCGAGGCAGAGTGGATGTGCAACATTGACACCTGGAAGGTCGCGGAGGACCCTGTGCTCCACTGCCTCGAGGGCGGGAGCCTGCTGCTGACCGGCTACCCGGGCACCGGGAAGACCCACCTGGCGCGCCAGATCGTGACCGCCCTCCGGGAAGAAGGGTACAAGGTGAAGATCATCACGAAGACCCACTCCTCCGTGCAGAACTTTGGAACGCAGGTGGAGACGGCCGACCACTGGGTGCGGAGCACCGTCCGGAACGGCTACTGCAACATCGACTGGCTGGCGGTGGAGGAGATTACGCAGCTCGACACGGGGCTGTGGAACGACATCGCCTGCGTCTCCATGAACCGCAAGGTCAAGTTCCTGCTGCTCGGCGACTTCCGCCAGTTCCCCGCAGTCATGGACAACTTCGCGGGCACCCCGGTGCAGCGGGAGCTCAAGCACTGCCAGCTGCTCCACGACCTCACCGACGGCTGGCACCACGAGCTCACCGAGAACAGGAGGAGCGACCCGGGCATCTTCGACTTCCTCCGGTGGCTCCGGGTCGACGAGCCCCGGGAGCAGTCCCTCCCGGAAGCGGTCCGGGCGGCCCGGGAAAGGTTTCCGCGGCAAGGCGAGCCCGATGTCAGCCTGGTCATCTCCCACGCCCACCGCATCAGGATCAACGCGCGGGACAACCGTCGTCTGGCCCCGCCGGAAGCTGTGACGATCGAGTACACCAGCACTGGCCCGACGACCACCAACATGCCGCAGACCATGCGGGTCTGGCCCGGCCTGAAGCTCATCGGCGTCGGCGGCCGCGTGACCAAAGGCATCTACGTGCATGTGGCCGAAGTGGGCCCCGAGAAGATCGTCTTGGACGGCGGCGACTCCTTCACCCACGCCGCCCTCCTGAAACACACCCGGCTGTGCCAAGGCCTAACGCTCGAAGGGCGGGTCTTCCTGTGCGACACCGAGAGCCCGCACTTCACCCTCAAGCACCTCTATGTGGGGAGCAGCAGGGCCACCAGCAGCGAGCTCCTGAGCGTGCTCTAGAACGGACACTGAAAGGCCGGGGCTTCGGCCTCTCTCAGCTGCAGGTCCGTCACTTCCATCAGAAGCCCGCACTGGCCCGACATGAGCCATACCTGGCGCAAATCTGCGCGCACCTTGCATTCCCGACCGGCCAGGTCACCAGGGTCCTCCAGCGGCTGCTGGTCAGCGTCCCAGAAGTGGACTCGGGACAAATCGACCTTGAGCTTGATGAAGCTGTTCCCGCGGGAGGAGGTCTTGAGGCAGGACACGAAGCGACCCTCCACGTCCGACGCGGTGAGGTAGCGGCCGAAGATTTTCGAGTCGTGGAGGCATCGCTGGGTCAGCTGGCCCTTGATGTCCTTCTCGATCGCCTGCAGGTCTGCCTTGACAGCCTCGTTCTGCTCGAGACACAGGGGGAGTCGCCGGGCTTCCGTCTCGCTGCCGTAGGGGCTGGGGTGCCACAAGATGCGCAGCCACTCGTGGGACCGCCAGGCCTCCGCGCACACCGGGAAGAACTTGCCGCCACGCTGGTTGGTCGTAAGCTCACCGAGCTTGAGTACCGTTTTGGGCTCCATCGCTCCTTCTTTTTTCACGACAAGAAAAAAAATGCCGGCCACCGTCTCCACCGCGGAGTGCGTGGTGGCCCTGGCGTGCTTGCTGGTCCTGTGGGCCTTTTCTTTTCCTTCAACAAATGAGACTCCTGGAACTCTTCAGCGGCACGGGGTCGGTCGGACGTGCCTTCGAGGCCCGTGGCTGGGAGGTAACGAGTCTTGACAGCAACCCAAAAGCCAGCCCAACCATCTGCTCCGACATCCTGCAATGGGACTACAAGGCCTTCGAGCCCGGGCACTTCGACGCAGTGTGGGCCTCGCCCTGCTGCACCGAGTTCAGCATCGCACTCAAGAAGCGCCCCCGCAACCTGCCGCTCGGAGATGCCCTGGTGCTCAAGACCCTGGAGGTCATAGACTACCTCAAGCCTCGGTGGTGGGCCATCGAAAACCCGAGCACCGGGCGCCTCAAAACCCGCCCCTACATGCAGGGCCTCCACTGGGACAAGGTAACGTACTGCAAGTACGGCTTCCGCTACAAGAAGCCCACGGCCATCTGGCACAACCTGCCCTGGACCCCCTCCCAAGGCCCCTGTCGCAAGGGCGACCGCTGCGAGGTCTTCCAAGGAACTCGCCACCCAGAGGCCGCGCAGCGAGGACCGACCAAAGGACGAGAGGGGAGCAACTCGCGGGACCAGCTCTACTCCATCCCGCCTGCGCTGTGCGACGAGATCGCCGCGAGCGCAACACTTGGGTTAAATGGGCAAGGTGCGTCTCTTCAAGACGCCTGAGTACTCCGTCAAGCAGCCGCCTGACCCCGTGGTTTGCAAGCCCCCCGCCAACGGTATTTTGTGTGCTCCATCTGCAAGCGGAAAGACGGTACTCCTTGTGAGCATGATTTTGGAGCAATACCGGGGCTGCTTCGAGCGCATCTATATCTTCTCGCCCTCGGTGGAAGTCGATTCTGCCTGGCAGCCTGTCAAGGATTACATCCGAGACAAGCTGGGGGTCAACACCGACCGGGAGCAGTGCTGGTGGGAGGACTGGGACGAGGGGGCGCTTCGCAAGATAATCTCGGACCAGAAGCGCATCACCCAGAAGAGCAAGGAGCTGGGCCTGAAAAAGCTCTACTCGGTTTTGGTGGTCCTCGATGATCACGCCGACAATCCGGCGGTGCACCGCAAGACGGGCGACGGCGTCCTGGACACCCTCTTCATCAGAGGGCGTCACTTCTGCATCAACACGTGGGTGTCTACCCAAAAGCTGCGACTGATGAGCTCGGCTGTGCGAGTGAACGTTATGTTTTATTGCGTCTTCCGGCTGCGAAACCAACTGGAGCTGGATGCCTTGGTGGAGGAGCTGAGCGCCATGCTCCCGAAAGAAACCCTGTACGCCATGTACGAGGAGGCCACCAGGGAGCCCTACAGCTTTTGGTTCGTTTCCCCAAGGAAGACATGTTTTGGGTGCGCTTCGACCGGAAGTTCTTGCTAAATGGGGACGCTCCTGAGCCAGATGGCGGCCAAGTTGTTGGGGGGAGGCCCGATGTGCGAAAGTGAGTGCAGCAACATAAGGTGCTGCACCAGCACGCAAGGCATCTACGATCCCAGCCACTGGCCGCCGCCAGAGAGGCCCCGACAAACCTCCGACGGGTCCAACGCCAGCGAGTTCTCGGCGCGGCCCACTCGGTTTTTCAGGCGCCGTTCTAAAAAGGGCATGACGAGTATCTACGTGGACTCGCGCCTCCGCGCGGAGGGCACGGACAGCAGCTTCTCCTTCGACATCGGTGAGAGTGTGCACATTCAATCCGGCGCCAAACTTGCGGTGTACAAGGTCCGCGTTGCTGACGCCTTCCTGAGCACGGACCGCGGGACGTTCTTGTACTGGGAGGACACGGTGGCCGGCACCCTGCACTACGCGGAGCTCCCGGTGGGCGCGTACACGGGGCCGCGATTGGCTGCGTGGATCAGCAGCAACTTCGCTTCCGCCAGCTACACCGCGGGAACGAACGAATTGGACGTCACCTGGGATGGCGTGCGCCTCATCCTCAACGATGCCGAGCTCCGGCAGCGCTTCCCAGGCACGGCCCCCTACCCGCCGGGCGCCTCGCCCAGCAAGCCCCTGTCCATCAACCACCTCCTCGGCCCCAGCTACCTCACAGGCTCTGTGCAGCGCTTCGTCTTTGTGACGATGAATCCGTTCTCAGAACTGTACCTCAGGTGCCCAACACTGGCCAACGGGGAGACGACCGTGGGCCCGTTGGGGCACGACATCCTCTGCAAAATAGTCGTTTCGAAAGGCGTGGGCCACGTCATGGAGACCGAGACGTCAGAGGGGCACTGGGTTCAGCTGCACGGGCCCATAACCCTGCGTCACCTGCGCTTCAAGCTCACCGACTACCAGGGCAACATCGTGAACACTCGAGGCACCAGCATTTCCTTTGTGGTTTTCCTCGACACCGAACGGTAAAAAAAATAATTGGGAAAGAAAATGGCTGAGGATGAACCCGCTTCTGTGGCCACCGAGCCCGCCGTGGCCGAGCCTCCCGCGCAGCCGGTGGTGGCCGAGCCTCCCGAGCCTGCCGAGCCTGCCGCGGTGGCCGAGCCGCCGACCGAGGCTCCTCAGGAAGCGCCCCAACCCAAACGGCGAGGGCGACCGCCAGGTTCGAAGAACAAACCAAAGCCGCCCCCGACTGTGGCCGTGGCGGAGCTTCCGAAACCTGCGCCTGAGCGACCTTCGACTGAGCCGCCGGCACCGGCGCCCCAACAAGAGCCCCATCAAGAGCGGGAGTCCCCGTTAGAGCTCCAGGAACCTATGCTTATGACGCCCTCGCAGGCTCGCCTGGCCCGTCAGCTCTCCCGAGCCGACCGCTTCCACGAACTCCTTCTCGCAAACAGCATGGATATCTAAAGATGATGCCCTTCCCTGAGAAGCGCAACGAAGCCGCGATGTTGCGTGCGTTTCACAAGCAGTATCCCAGCTACAACTTGACGCCGCTGCTCTACAAGCGGCAGCAACAATTGATCGATGCTCGGGCCTTCAACGAGTGGCTGGCCAACCGGCGGCAGCGCCAGGAGGGCGAGGCCTATGCGGATGAAGTCGGGCGTGCTGTCGACGCCGTTAACAGGAGGATCCCCCAGTTGAGGTGGGCCCCCGCCGAGCGGGCGGGCGTGCGTCGCGTGGCTCGCGATGTCGCTGCCGGGCGGAACACTAGCGACTCTGGGGTTTACGGTGGCTTGATGTAAAGATGGAGGAGCGACGCGCGCACGGCTTCCGTGTCAGACCCTCCTACGGGCAGGTCTTGGGCTACATAGCTGAGGGCGAGCCCTTGCCCATCAATCTCCCGAACCGCAGCGCCAGCATCCTGACTTCCTCGCATTTCTGGCTCGACGACTATCCGCAGAGCAGCGAGCCCGAGCCTGCCCCGCTGCCCCACACGACCGTGGACCCTGCAGCAGCCTACGAGGACGCCAACGAGGGCTACGATGGAGTGCCCTTCCCCCGCCGGGATTTTTTGCGCCCACGGCCCTTCGACCTGGACAGCGAGTCTGATTTTGGGGCTGTGGACCCAGGCCAAGCTCTGAGAAACGACGGGCTGGAGCCCCCAGCACCGCCGAGCTTCTTGAGCCGACTGCAGCAGGCCGAAGCCGCGGTGGGAGCTGCGGCGGGACTGGCGGGCTCTGCATCTGCCATCGCGGGGCACGGACAGGACCTCTACAACGCTGCGCGCAGGGGGCGCAATTGGATCGACCGGAACCTGCGCATCCCGCGCACACCCGAGGGCCTTGCACCCCCGCCGGACGAAGTAGCTCCGCCGCAAATTATAGGCCGGCCCAGCGAAGTGGAGCCGCTGCTGGAGCGGGCGGGACAGCGAGCCCAGGAGGTGGAGAGGGCGGCGGCCCGAGACATCGAGCAGTTCATGAGCGAGCAGGTGGCAGAGGCCGAGGCCACGGAAGGTTTTGCTTCCACGGCGGAGGTGGCGGCCGGGGCTGCAGAAGCAGCAGCGGCTGCAGAGGGGCCAGGAGCGCTTGCGCTGTTTGGCGAGGCAGCATTGGGCACCGCTGCGGGCATGGGAGCAGCGGCGGGGGGCTTGGCTGTGGCAGGCGGGGCGGCCGCACTCGTGGGAACCGCCTGGGCGCTGCACGGCGGCATGGTGGCGGCGGAGCACCTTTTGGGCTGGGGCGGAGGAGGAGGCACGGACACGGACGCTTCCCGGCCCAGCTCAGCGCCCGACATCCAGACCTTGAATGGGATGCAGGAGTTTGCGGCTGAGCAGCACTTCCAGCTCCAGGAGCAACGCCCGCGGACGCAGTTTTACCGCATGGACACTGAGGACGAATCGGAGCCGCGGGCCCAGCCGCCCCCCCGAGTGCAGGCTCGTCCCGCGAGGCCCACGCGTTTCCCCACAGGCCTCAACCCCGCTCCCTTGGCGCAATCCTCAGGCAGCGACTCCTCCCGCGGACCTCGCATGCATCGCCAGTCGCGCGCGGCACCGCCCCCTTCCTTCGAGGCGCTTCGCAGCGCGAGCGAGCCGGAGGCCGCGTGAATCTTTCGCTACAAGTAAACAGTATGGAGCAGGTGACCGCTGCAGTCAACGACGAGCTGGTTCAGAGTCTCGACTACAAGCTCCAGTCGAGCAACGTAAACTACGTGCAGAGCCGGAAGGACGTCCAGTACTATCCGAGCTCGCTGAGCGTCTTCACGCCGACCACGAGCCGCGTGTGCCGGATCCCGCTCACGTCTGGCATGGATTTCGTGGACGGCGAGAGCGTCAAGCTCGGCTTCACGGTGCGCAACACCTCCACCACGGCGACGCTGCAGCTCTCCTCGCCGGACCCGAGCTGTCTAATCGACCGCATCGAGGTCTTTGCGAACGGCACTCGCATCGAGGACATCTCCTATTACAACCGCTGCTCGTACCTCTACAGCCTCCTGAAGAACGAGGAGTGGTGGCTGAACCGGCACATCCAGGGCTTCCTGGCGGACGGCGGTGGCCACGCCGAGGAGATCCCGGCCTCGGGCTCCCGCACCGTGCTCATGAGCCCGCACCTCATCGGGATCTTCAACTGCGGCAAAATGCTCCCTCCCGAGCTCGGGCTCGTCCTTCAAATAACATTCTGCGACCCCACGGACGGGGCCCGCACGTCAGCGGGAGCCAGGAGTACACCATCGAGAACGTGAAGCTCTACGCCTCCCAGGTGACCCTCGACTCCGCCCTTCGCGAGAGCTTCCAGAGGATCATGACCAGCGGCCGCAGCCTGGTTTTCAGCTTCCCGACGATGCACACGCAGCTCTCCAGCATCCCCGCAGGGTCCACCAGCTACAATATTACAATAGCACGGGCATTTACGAAATTACTCGGCGCCTTTGTGACGTTCAACAAGACCACGGAGGACCACGTGGACAATTTCGAGTACCCTGGAGCGAATGCGAATCGGAACCTCAAGGGCCAGCTGCAGCTGGGCGCGCTGCAGTACCCTCGCACGGCGAACGAGAGCATCGCCGAATGGCACCACTTTTTGGAGATCCTCGCGGGCACCTATGACTCCAAGCTTCGCAACATGCGCATCCGGGACAACCTCTACGGGAACACGCAGTTCATCGCGGCCTTCCCGGTGGAACGAGTGCCCAAGCACCCGCTCTCGGGCATCTCGACCCGCTCCGGCGACCTCTGTCGCTTCAGCTTCAGCAACATGGAGGCGGAGCGCGTGGACCAGTGCTTCGTGCACATGCTCTCCTACCAGCTCGTGACGCTCTCGGGCTCCGGGGTCAGTTCCCTCGACTAGTAAAACATGAGTCTTTTTGAGTCGACCATCACCGGCAACATCCTCAACGATGGCCAGACCCCCATCACCACCATCGAGATGCAAGGGATCTCTGCGGGGCAGCTCGCAACGGTCCTCACGGCCTACACACCCCTCACAGACACCGCTGCCAACACCGCATCCATCGGGACCAACTCGTCCGCCGTCGCGGCACTGCAGGCCCAGGTGGCAGCCATCCCGGCACCGCCCGATTTGACCCCTTACGCTTTGGCAGCTGACTTGGCAGCCGCCGAGGGCCTCATCGCCGGCAACGCTTCTTCCATAACCACTCTCAGCGCCAGCCTCATCACGGGTCTGGCGGGGAAAGCGAACCAAAGCGCCCTCGACGCGCTGCAGCTGGACGTGAACTCCAAGAGCACGCCCGCCTCCGTGGACCTCAAGCTAGCCAACCATCCCACTAACGCTTCCATGAACAGTGCCATCACTAGTGCCGACAACGCAGTACTCGCGCAGGTCGCAGCCACCTATGGGCTGAAGAGCACGCAGGACCAGCTGGCCCTCGACGTGGCGGCCCGGCAAACAGCCGCTGATGTCGACCAGAAAATAGCTACGGCTCTTTTGGACCGGCCCACAACCACTGACCTCAACAGCACAGTGGCCCTGCGCACCACGCCCGCGGACGTTTCGCAGCTCATCGCTACGACAATTCTTCCTTTCGTGCAGCAGACGACGCTGGATGCGGCCCTTGCCATCCGAGACGGGAGGCTCGATGCCGCCGAGGCGGCCCTGGCGGCGCTGCAAGCCGCGGGCTTCCAGTCGGCTGCCGACGTGGCTGCAACTCTTGCCACCGCACTAGCGGGCTACACGGACACTGCGGGGCTCGGCAGCTTGCTGGCCGTGCGAGATGCACGCCTGGACGGGCACGACACGGAGATCCTGGCCCTGCAAGGTGCCGGACCTTATGCGACGGCGGCGGACCTGTCGGCTTCCAAAACAAGTCTGCAGAGCGCCATCGATGCGCTCAACGCAGCACTGGCCGCTCTGACCACAGGAGGCAGCACGAACCTGGCCAACGCCCAGGCGTGGCCCGGGCAGACGACCTGGGATCTGCTGGTCGGAACGAACACAATTAGGAACTGGCACTTCAACGCTCCCCTGAGCGTCTCCCTCGAGAACGACAACTTCACGCTGAGCCTGGCCTGCGATGCGTACACGCAGGCGGAGGTCAATGCTCTTCTGGCGCCCCTGGCCAGCGAGTCCTGGGTGCTGGCCACCCTGGGCAGCTACTACACAAGCAGCGAAACCAATGGAGCCATCACTGCAGCTCTGGTTCCGTACAGCACCACCACGCAGATGGATGCCGCGATTGCCGCGGCTGTGGGCGGCATCGACTTGAGTGCATACGTGCCGTGGACCGGGCTTCAGGCGCCCATCCTGAACGAGATCGCTATAGCGCTCGCATCCTACTACGACTCCGCGCAAGTGGACGCCCTCATTACGGGCGCAGCTGTTTCCAATGCGCCCGCCTGGAGCGGGAACACCACCTGGGAGCTGCTGACGGGGCAGGCCCTGCGGAACCTGCACTTCGCCGGGCCCCTGGTGGCCAGCCTCCAGAACTCGGGCAACACGCTGCAGATCGAGTGCCAGGCCTACGACCAGAGCCAGACGTACACGCAGGCCGAGGTGAACGCGCAGATATCGAGCGCCGTGGACGCGCTCAACGTCTCCCAGTACACCACGCAGGCCGACATCGACGGCTCCATCGCCTCGGAGCTCACCAAGTACTGGGACCAGGGGGAGACCTCGGCGGAGATCGCGAGCCAGATCAGCTCGTCCGGGCTCCTCACCGAGGCCCAGGGGGACGCGAGATACAACATCGTCAATGGCAACGCAGGGGGCGGAGGCATCGTTCCTATGGTTCTGGAGAACTTCCAGCCGCGCATGGTCCGAGCGCTGCTGCCCCAGGCTCCGTTGGGGGCCAATCTGATTTTGGGCAACTCTGCGACGGTTCAATTGACTTGTGATGCGTATTCCAAGAGTGAGAGCGATGGGAGGTACTTCTCCAACAGCGACTTCACGCCCCTAGACTCCAGGTACAACATCGTCAACGGCAACGCCGGCGGGGGAGGCATCATTCCTATGGTTCTGGAGAATTTCCAGCCCCGCATGGTCCGAGCGCTGCTGCCCCAGGCTCCGTTGGGGGCCAATCTGATTTTGGGCAACTCTGCGACGGTTCAATTGACTTGTGATGCGTGTTCCAAGAGCGAAAGCGATGCCCGCTACGCCCTGGCGGGGGCGCCACCCTCGGACCCCCTGCTCGTCAACGACGTGCGCGCCAACGGAGGCGACTACCTGACGCTGCGGGGCGGCTCGCTGGGCATCGAGTTCGAGGCCTCCAGCGGGGCCGCCGTGGCCGACCTCTCGGCCAGCCTTTTCAGCCTCAAGACGGGCGTCAACATGCTGACCATGGGCCGCATCTTCGCGGACTCTAGCCTGGGCATCGCCACCGCCGGCAGCTTCCAAGCGGACACCGTGGAGCCCCTGCTTCCGACCAATCAATTCCTGAACCTGAAGGCGGGCACCGTGTCTGTGCGCGTCACGGACCAGGCGGACCAGAGCCTCTGCACTTTTGCCACGTCGGAGGTGCACTCGGTGGCCCCGAGGCTGCGCGTGGACACGGAGCTCTACATCGACGACGCCGTGGGCACCGCCGCGGGGCTCGTGACCAACGCCATCTCCACACGAATCCAGGACACGCAGCTCACCATCACCGGCGGCTCGGCAGGCACCGTCGTCAACGGCGCACTGGATGTGCAGGGCACGCTGACCTCGGGGAGCGTGGAGCTCAGCACGGAGCTGCGGGCGCCCACGGTGCGGGCGAGGCCGACGGACGACTACCTCACCATCACGGGCGGCACGCAGGGCACTTATCTCAACTCGGTGCTCTACACCGCCAGTGCGATTCGGGCCGACAATGGCATCGTCTCGAGCCCAGCATACCTGGAGCTCATCGGTGGTTCCACGGGGGTGCAAGCGCAAGGGGATTTGCAGGTGGTGTCCACCGTCAACGGCGGGGACGTCACGGCCGAGGTGCTGAACCTCGCGACGGCGGGCAATGCGCGGCTCCTGGCGGCGTGCAACGCAGGCTCGGGCGAGCTCTCCGCCTCTTCCGCGGGGGGCGTGCAGCTCTACGCCCAGGACCGTACGGGCTGATTGTCTCGGACGTTTTCACCCGAGAGGCAGTGACCAAAGCCCTGCCCGATAAGAAGGCAGAGACGGTTTCGGCAGCAGCCCGGGAGATCATCCCGAAGCTGGTGGAGGAGGAGACCAATTACGTTGTGTCCACGGATGAAGGGGTTGAATTCAATGGCCTGGAGGGGGCGCTGCCTGACCCCGTGGTGCACAGAGTGAAGGATCCCTCGGATCGGAACGCTCTGGCAGTGGTAGATAGAACCATCCAAACCTTGAAACGGGACCTGGCCAGCGACGTGGCCCGGCGTGGGGGCAACTGGAGCGAGCACCTGCCTGACGCAACCTTGGCCTACAACCGCCGGCCACACGAGGCCGTGCATGCGGCCCCCGAGGATGTGGAGCACCAAAATCCACCATGTTCCGATTGTACCAGGACAATGCCAAAAAATTCCAGCACAACACGCAGCTTACCCGGCGCAGGCAAGAGAGACTGGAGGAGATGGGGGCCTTCCGGGCCCCCACCAATGCGCGACGAAGCTTCGAGCCCCAATATGGAACCGCCAAGGACGTGGCATCCTACGACAGCATG